TTGGGATTCCATAAAGGTTGTCATGGCAGAAGGCTTGCCATATTTATTTTTAAGTTCTGCCCATTTGGCATTGGAGGTAGCCAGGGCATCAATGGACATTGCAATCATCAGATCACAATACAACATGAGAATTCCTTGAGCACAAGTATCTGAAACATTCCAAGCATCTTGTGCAGCTCCAGCATTAGCTGGTTGTGCAGTAGTGCCATCAACAATATTCATAATGCCAAGAGTTTGGAGATATGCTTTCATTAGGACCAACCAAGAGGCATAGTTGACTCTGTTAAGTTTCAGAATCTGTTTCAAAAGACCTTTGGACATCTAGTGTCAAAAGTCCATCAGCAAGTGTTCATATAGGAACGATTTGGTGGGATGAGTCAATTTGGAAGGTGGATGAAGGCGATGAGATCCTTGATTTTTAGGTCTGTGAGCAGATGCTCTAGCAGATTGCGATTTGTGATTAACACAGGGTTTCAGGAAATGAGGACAAGGATTTCACCAAAGTTTGATAGGGATGCTAATTCCTTTCTCAGTGAATTGCTTTGCAGCAATGTGAGAATTATTGTGCTCTAGACTTTCAAAGTCTAGTGGGGGAAAATAGTGATACACAAAGAATGACCAGTTACAGTCATGCAGCAGTTCACCATTTGACATAAATCCCAAGTAGGGATTAGTGCAAGAATAAGGAATAGCAAGGGAATTGTAATGGCAAAAATGAGAACATTTTACAAGTATCTTGAAGACATTATATGACTTGTCCAAAATACATCCATTAGTTTCCTCATGGTATCGCCCACCTGATACATATGGTACATCCATTGTACCTGGAAGAGGATAGAGCCTGCCTAATGGCTCTAGCCATGTGAGCTCTACTAAGAGCTGTCGTGAGTATTCCTCAGCATCAGGGTTCTGTGAGATAGTCGAAAGAAGAATTCTCCATGGAACATTCAAGATCTTTAAAAATCTCTGCTGTTCCAGGCCAGTAAGCAAATTGATGGTTACTGGCTGAGTCAGTCCAGCCAAGGTGTCAGTTAGTAACCGAATATCCAATGCTACTTCCCATATCACTTTGTAGTTTAAGCTCAGCAATGAACTGAGCGAGAGAGCTATCAAATTGATCTCCACTTCTTTGTCTTTCACAGAACCACCTCAGGACACATGCAATGTCAGTGGAGCTGTCAGCCCAAGTTCCTTGGAAACAGCATTCAAGATGTTCATGCCATACCTGAAGAGGAGGGATGATCCTGCAGAAGCAGGGATCGTAAAGGATGTGGGCGTTATAGTAGATGTAGATGAAGGTGTCATGCGTGATTGTGAATGCAGGGACAGTGAAGAGCACAGGATCTTCATATGTAACTGAAGGAAGATCGCAACCATTGAAGTTAGCAATAGTGTGAGGTGATGAGGTATGAGTTAATTTAGGGAAGAAGTCAGTAAAGTAACCATGATGTGTGATGTGAAGGCCAGGATAAAAATATGGAGATTCAAAGCCAGGAAAGTGGGGCACTTGCTGCCACACTGTTTCCACAGTGGCTAGTGGAACAAGGTAGGTTGCCAGGTTTGGCTTCTTGAAGAAAGCCATTGAAGATGGCATGGCCTCTCTCCAGGACAAACAGTCACATACATATAACATTTCTATGAACTCAACCATCTCTTTAACCACATACTTCCTCCACTTCAGACCCTCCAGATACATTCCATCACAGGGTTTGGCAGTGAGCAATTCGGTGCACTTAGCAATGACAAGAGACATACTTGAAGAGTAAAGACCATAGATTAGTTCCCATAGCTCAATTAAAGAACCATGAACGAGTTATAATAAATCGAACTCAGCAAGATTGTCAGCAGGACCAACAATCACAAGAATGGGCTCAGGGTGGAGCAACTTGTTCAAAGCCTGAACTTCCTCGGGAAGAGGAGTCAGCACTCAACAAGGAGCAGGAGGATCACAAAATCCTTCCTTGGAGTATGGCAGTATGGGGTCTAGGTCTGCCTTGAAATTGACATCAGGAAGATGGAAATGTAAGTAATGAGGAGGCAGAGCAGGAAGCATACAATGAGCAGCTATTAAGGTGTGAATGCCAACAGCATCTTGAATGACATGTTGACGATGCCACCACCAGAGAGTGAGTCCTAGAAATGTAAACCAAAAGGTGGTGGAGTGAATAAAAAGCTCCCACAAATCAAAAGGATCAAAACCACCATAATGAAGTAAAAGGATGGCTTGGTTTGCACCAGCCAAAAGTGACAAAGCAAAAGTGACTACAGCTAACCCTAGTGCATCTAGGCCTACACAATCCATAGTGATACATCCTTCAGCAGTGATCGTTCTATGCAAACCATGTAAATAGCACAATGCCTAGAAGGCAGGGCTCATAACCTATTGCACAGAGGATGGGCTACTATGAAGAGCTAAGGACAAGAGCACTTGCCTTATACTTGAATTAGCAGGTAGTTTTTGAGGAAAGGTTTGTTGGGGCTCAATTGTTTGAATGAACAGTAGATTGTCTGTTGTAGATGATAGGGACTCTAGGAGAGATACCCTGAGTTTATATACATGTAGCTGTATGCATGGACCAGTAATGTATAAGGAAGGAGCTACAGTATATCTTCTAAATAGAGTAAAGAATAGCAGAGAATGCTATGGAATATGATGTCAACCATGATGTCAGAATGACATCATTGTGGAGCTGCTTGGTGAGCAAAGTCATGTGATATACAATGTGTTGATGCACGTGTAAATCTAGAGTTGAAACTATTATGATATTTCCAACAAATGCTTGTCTCTGTGCATCAATCACACCAACTTCAATGCTGTGAGTCGGGTGGCAATTGAAAGAGTGTCAGCCCCCAAATGATCACATGTGGTGATGGAAGCCATAGCCTCAGACACCCTCAACCACACCATTCAGCTGTTCTAAGCATGGTACAAGCAGAGAAAGTCACCTCATCAATGGTCCTAGTATCCACAATTCACTACTCCTGTGCATCTGCAAATTGCTTAGTGCTCTAAGAGCACCGTTAGAGTGCTTAGCATCAGTGACAGTGTGTGCCAAGCTCTCAAACAATTCAAAAACTGTCTGAAGCACATGCTGTAATTTGACTGTCTTGCAGATGTGTATGCTGCATTTGCTTAATGCATTCAATGGTATTTGCTTCACATGATGAACCATCACCATCAGGAAATTACCACTTTACTATTTTTGACCTTTTTGTGACTTTTTTTTGACTTTTTTGTGACTATTGTGACTATTTGTGACTTTTTGGGAAGGAACCTACTATCTGTACTTTTTTTTTTGACCATATACAGCATTTTGAAGAATGAAAAGAGAACAGAATCTGTTGAGACAACTAAGTGATGATATATCTAAGCCAAGAAGACTAGAAAATGTCTGAAAATTCACAATATCTCTTTGGAACCTTCATCAATTTGAATGTATGTGGTATCTACTGAAAGCTATGAATTAGGTGGTTTGAACAAGACCAAGATCAGCAAGAAAAGTGCAGCCATGCCTGCAGGACATGGGTAATGATAGTAGATTCCTTCCCAAAAAGTCACATTAGTCACAAAAAGTCAAAAATAGTAAAGTGTTATTTTCCTGACGGCAACGAACATGTCGCAATACAGCGCCATCGAATCTGGACGATAGAGTCGATCCGGATCTAGGGCTCCGGCCCCTCCGCGGTGAAATGTCATCGTATCGACAAATTCAACATCCAACGGGAACAGGTAACAGTGGAGACCATTCAATCCGCCCCTCAGGAGACAGAACTTAGGAATTTGACAAGTTTACGCCCGAGTTGCAATGCAAACTTCGCTTTCAACAACGAGAACGTAGTTTTGCTCCACAGGACCGCGGGCCAAATTGATCATTTGGTGTTGATAACCGATGGCGACAGGAAATACACGCATTTATGTTCAACATCCTAGTGTCGATCGATTCTGCCCCTGGCTTATACCATTGATTTATGTAGCATCTGGTCAAATCTCCGTCCAGCATATCCGTCAATGTTCTTTACAGCGGCAAAATCAGTCGGATATCTCCAGAAAGTTTAGATGATATCATGACCGTCGGAATATCGACCCAGTGTCTCTTTCGTGCCTGACGCTTTGTTTTACCTACCAACAGGAGTTATTCGTTGGTGCGAGTTTGAGAATACATCAGACGTCGTACTTGGAATTTTGTGCTTGCTACCAGTCCGCCTCGGCGATGAAGAGACCAGGTCTAAGTTGGTTGATAATTAGTGTACCACTTCCTCTTGCCGGCGTTCCGAGTTCTCCCGAGTTGGATACTGTCATTGAGATCCGAATCAATGCGGGGTAATATGTGTTCCGTCACATAATTGGGAATTCCGTGTGTTTTCCCTGAAATGAGACAACATCCTTGGAACGACATGGCAGGATCCGCCTTCCAAACGGCTCCGCTACAGATCTCATGAGTAGACAGCGTGAGACCTACTTGTGGCAATTCTTGTACCTAAGGGTATGTATTCTGATGGAACGTCAAGACGGATCTTTTGAATTGAGGTGCATGAGCTGCGAACTTGGTACCCATGGACCGTCGAGCTTGTCACATACTTGAATGCCCATGCTCGGCGGCCGGGGATTACTTCATATTGGCCCATCTTGCACGGCAGTGGAGACGGCAATTGCTGCCATCCCGTGAGCGAGCTAGCCTCAAATATCCGTGGTGTGAACTAGAAGGCTACAGAGGAAGACACCATTCTAAGACAAACAACTTGACACAAGCTGAATATAGATCCTCCGCGAACCCGCTCTGGCGAGTAAAGGTGTACAAACTGGAGGATAAGTTAGGACTTCTTAGGACAAGTGAGACACACTGGGATGTAACGTGTCCGGCAGGCAAAATGAAATCGCAGACGATTCTAGATAGTAAGTCGAATTTTTAATACAAAATCACAGATGGCGCCATAGAAGATCGTCCGTCAATAATAGTTATCGATGTATTAGGAGTATGGCGTGATGAACGGGTTATTCAGAAGCTAGCCATGACGCCGTATAGGTAGTTCCATGGCCGGTTCTGGCTCAAGCTGAGACATACGGACGGGAATAAAAACGGTTGGATCGATGCGGCGTGCTGTATCACAGTGCAATGGTACATTCGCCGAAGCAGAAACGGCACTAGAAGTTGCTACACATGGAAGTGGAGGAAGAGTCGTAGTGACTGGTGCTCTGGACTGGTTCCCCAGGATAGATAACTCGTATCCATCGCGGGTGATAGAAACGTGACGGGCGCCTGACACAGACCTGCTCGCACGCATCGCAACTAGATTACCTAGTTCGAGAACCTCGCTTGAGCTCGTCCTTGAACTCAATAATGAGTCGAGGGATGCACGAGCAGGAAACATCGAGAGAATAGCGTCTCCCACAGTAGTTGTGAGAGTGGATAAACTATCAGAGGATGACCGGGAGGGAGGTTCAGGGGAAGCTGCGTCGACGTCTTCAACGCTCGTTAGCTTGCGCTGGGTTGACAGTGGGTCTCCACAAGGTATTTTGAGTTCGGTGCGGAGGTAAATGGGATCAGAAGGCCACAAATTGTTAGCTCGACGGAGTGCAGCCACCGAAACCCCGTAACGGAGAGCTACGCTGGGTAGTGAATCTATACGGCTAACCTGAAACGAAGATGGTCAGTTAAGTTATGACGCTGAGGATGAGACTCACCCTGTGTACGACGGTGGTAGTTTCGCCGCCGGTAGTTTCGGCGCGACTGGTGTCTAACGCCGTACTCCCACCCTCCCCGAAATCTTGTGACGGGTGGTCGAGAATGCGCGCCAATCGTGGGCGTGTTTCTCCCCTTGTTGTATGACAAGAGTGATTTGTTTCGATGGAGTCCAGGGGAATGGAAGGACTGCGTCGATGCAATGGATCCTCTGTAGGGGAAATGAGGGACACATCACCAGCGCAAACGACGCTTGGCCGTCGACCTTTTGGAGCATTAAATGTAGAGCCAGTCAATAATCCATCCTTCTTCCGAGCTCTGGCATGCCCTGGGAGCATCGAAGGCCATAGCCGCCTGTGTTTGTCCCCAGCAAATCAATGCCACAGCCATCTCCGTCCGAGTGACCTCCATCAGATGGCACACGCAGACGCGTCGCTGGTACCGTCGACAATAACTACCAAGTCTCAGTTCTGGGACCATGTATACTCGCAACTGGAATCATTGCTCGAGGGCCAAAGGCACTGGGTATGTGATTCCGCTTCCATCCACAACTTGCCCTTGAGAGCAGTGCAGATTACAAACCTAGCTAATGCATCTTCGTTAATCTACAACTGCCTTCTCGCCTTCCCTGCATATTTCGGAAGCGGCGACCGTGCTGTCAACTGGTGTGGTGAGTTCACTAGTACACCACCTCTATTACGAGTTGGACCACGGCATCCTTTCCACCCTGACTTTGTTATCATAGGATTCTATATTCTTCCGTCCCTGTTCCCGCACCCACAGTTCACCACACCCACAAGCAGCCAACCGAGTGTATCACGAGACAAGGGTAACTTGCTGTTGGGTCCTTTTTGCGGCAAACCAGCGTGTCAGCTTATCAACCTCCAAGCCGACAAGGCTCGAGGTGTGTGTGCTGACGCATTCATTCATGGCAAAACGGTTATTGTACGAGACGTGAACACCTATCCAGGGCACATCGCATGTGACGGATCCACTAATAGCGAAATTGTATGTCCCCTTATCTATCAAGGAAGCGATGGACCCTTTGTGTTTGGAGTGCTGGACTTGGACTGTCTTGCATTGTCTGGTTTCGACGAGGACGACCAGGCTGGACTAGAGCAAATAGCCAAGTTAATAGTGCGAAGCTGTGAATGGTAGAAATTTGCTTGATATCCTATTAGAATCTGTTAGGGTAGAAGCGACCACTGTCAATGCTGCTGTTGTTGCCAAGCTAAATATTCCTCGTGCAGCTTCTTTTGATCATTCCACAACTTCTGAAGCTTCTTCTCCTGACTTTTACTAAGTTTCTCTCCAGAACCATCTGCAGTTGGTAGACCTATTTCGTTCCATTGGCTATAGCTACCTTCAGGTACGTTCGGTGGTCTGAAAAGCTCCTCTGGAGGTGTGCGTCCTTTTTCAAGTTTCGCAAGCCGCTTCTGCCGCTGTTCTTCTGCAGCGGCAGCTTTTCTAAGAGCTTGGGCTTCAAGCTTCTGGCGTTTCTCGTCGCGGGTTTTGATTAGCTCAGCTGGGGGAACTAGCTTGACGAGAGCCTTCCCATCTGGTGCAAGGATGTATCATTTCCGACGCCGCACTGATGATAGACTGGATGTCACCTTCTTGGTCGTCTAGGGCAACACCCAAAGGTACCAAGTCGTCGTCTCGCAGCTGATCACAGAGCTTGAGAATCTGCTTGGGAGCATCTTCGGTTTTTGCGATGGCCAACCGCCGGACTCCATCCCGAAACGAGGAGAGAACTCGAAGATACGGCATGAGAACCCCTTCCCGCTATCATTTCGACTGTCAGACTCAACGTGTGAGTTAAAATACAGTTACGCACGTTTGCCCCTCCATTCTTATTTTGCTCTGTTCCCCATCCCAAATCTGGCTCGTAGCCTTCCCCAAGACCAAACATGTGTAGCATCTGACCTACCCAGCGGGCCGATTGCTCCACCACGCCTACATTCAGCAATTTACCTCGAGAATTAATGTAAATATTTGTCCTTGAAACAAGGTCACGTAGAACTTTGAGCGCCTCCGGAGTATTGAACGAGTCACAGAGGGCAGCACGGAAGGACAGTTTACTCTGGTACAGCCTGAAGGGAGCTAAGGCATACCACTAAAGCTAAACGTGCAACTTACTCATTCATGAGTTCTCGTTCAGGGTCTTCATAATGGTGGTATCCATCCGATTGTCCGTTATTCGTAAGTACTATGGCCTTGACTGTCGCAAAAAAGTTCTGCACAGTAGATTGGTTGACCGAACAATAAACAACATAAAATAGTGGGCTCCTTACGTTGAAATTGCTCTCGATTGTTCTTACTTCGCCTGTCATCAACGACTCAGAGAAGTCCACTTTGGCATTCCATAACTGTGACAGGAACGCTAGGCGCAGTTGTCGGGGGGTATATCTTCGCAAAATTTCCTAGTTTCCCTGCGTGACTATGAGGTCATCGGGGGATTCCCAGTTACACTCACATCGATGGTAATGAAGTTCTTCAACGATTTGCTCATTTTGAGACCTTCGATATGCAAGTGGCCCGTATGGATGAAATAATTTACCCAGGACTCGCATCCGTGATAGGCCTGGCCCACGTTAGGTGAAACTCCAACGCAGGAGTAATCACTTACCTCGGATTGTGCAATCTCGTTATCGTGGTGAGGAAAAGCAAGGTCAATACCACCCGAATGTATATCCATGTTATCACCGAAGATGGCACTGGCCATGACCGAACATTCGATGTGCCATCCTGGACGACCCGAACCCCACGGAGATGGCCACGATGGTTCGCCTGCTTTTGACGCCTTCCATAACGCAAAGTCGGCTGGTGATCGTTTGCCACTGCTCCCAGAGAGTGCGCCTAGTCCCACCAAGGTCGATAGGCTTTCATCTTAAAAGCTCACTGGAAGACCAACCTTCGCCTTCAGCAAGAAGCTCACGATTGCCCTTGCTCCAAGGTTCCAACTTCGCATAGACGTGCTTACCGGACGAATCAAATGCCAATGTGTCGAAATACACGCTGCCGCCGTGCGTGTAACCATATCCGTTTTCGATGATCCGCTTTACAAAGTCAACAATTTCCGGGACATATTCGGTAACTCGTGTCAATATATCCGGCCTACGAACCCGTAGGCGGTCCATATCCCTGAAGAATCGGTTCTCCCAGTACGCGGCCAACGCTCTGAATATGGATGGGTCTGTGACTGTATGTTTTAGCTGTAGTGTCGATCAGCGTCGGTCTCCGAATTTTCAAACCACCTACTTCTTCATCTAGGGATGCAGAGAGTATATCACGAGACTCATCGACTAACTGGAGCGCAAACTCCCGATCGCATTCAGAAGAGGACAGTTTTTCTCGAGCAATAGAAAGTGCGGTCAAGGTCTGAAGCTAGTTAGGTCCGGTCAGAGTAGCCAATTCGACACGAAGACACGGGAACCTACAGCAGCTCTCAAGTGCATGTCAAATTTTTCGTCGCGCTTCAGACACTCAGCTTTCCGGTCCTTGTCCTCTATAAACTGCTCGATCCGCAACCAACCAGCGTTTTCATCCCCTTCCCGTGCTTTGACATCGTCTGGAAGGGCCCTCGAAACCCTATTCAACACATGTGCTTTCCAGGCAGCGGACACTCTGTCAATGAGATCTGCGGAAAGAGATGCGACTTGGTCACGAAATCTTTCGAAGAGATACTTTTGCCGTGCCCTCAGAATTATCTGCTAATCTGTCAGGCTGTCATGGACGATTGGGCAGCTCATCCGCTTGCCTTATCGTCTATATCGGTGACGTTCATGACAAAGTGCACATCGTAACCAAAATAATCTGACATTATTCTCCGCAAGATATCTTGGGTGACGTAGTTCCTGCAGTTGCAAAATCGTACAGCCTCTTTTCGACAGAAAGAAGTGCTAACCTTACCTCGCATGACCCATGTGAGATGCATCATAAACCGTGGGTCCACAGTTGTACCACTTTACGATGCGTCCATTCCTGGGTATGAATTCCGTCTTATCAAATTTGAGCCACTGGCCGTCCACATGCAGGTGCATCAGCCTACGTACCTTGGATTTGGTCAACGAATTGTATATCCTGAGAACGGGCTCCTCTGTGCAACGAAGATCGGGCTTCCAGGGAGGTTGCCTGATGGACATGGCGGTTCTGATTGAGCAATTCAGGCTACGGTGCTTATTGATAACGAAATGGGAGAAACGAGGGTTGACTCGTGCACAAATCATACAGGACCAAAATCAGCCAACTTGGACTTGCAATAGAGAATACAAAAGCTTGGCAACATCGCTGACGTAAGCATCTCGGACCTTCGTGTTTTCCTGGTGTGCACAATGCCACAATTGCATTTGGCATGAATGCTGACAAGGTTCGACCCAAACGCCGATGGTGCCGTACTCGTGGCCTCCTGTGAAAGGTGCCTGCTACTTGACCAAGTCTTTCCCAGCAGGGAGGACGACAAATCAAAAGAAGACCGGCCTTCTGATGCCGCTCTGGAATCTGTGAAAGCCCCCTCCAGTGGGACATGTGGAAAATGCACCCCTTGTCCACTACATTTGTTAAGGCATGTCCATTTCTCGTGAACATACTAATAGCTTGTGGGGTACTCGAGTTAGGACAGGTGGTTTGATGCTCGTCTCGCATTATGACTCGTGCCGTGACCTGGATGGCTGTCCTTCAGGGTCTATCTAATTGTGTCCGACAAAAGTTTTTGGCACCCCCCAATATCGCCGTCGTGGTATGTGCATTCACCGCAAAAATATCCTTGGATCCAGGTTCAGATTTCACTGCGCAGGTGGGACAAATCACATAGATATACATATTACTTACATACGGGCGTAAGCTGACGTTACGATCACTGGACTGAAGTGGAAGTGAGTTCCTTTCTGCAGAACGTGCATTGTCTTATCTGGCTGAGTCGGTTCTCTTAGGTGTATTCGTGTGTGCAAAGCAAAGGGCCACCATGGCTGCGCTTGCATCACACACACTGCGTCTATCTATCAGCTGATGGGCCAACCACCCTGTGAAGCAGTGAGCTCGTTGTAAGCATTTGACCAGTCCTGCAATCTTTTCCTGGTAGTCTGGCACTCTCATGAGCTAGGATTTCAGGCCCTTAGCACGACGGTCACAGTTACGTACGATGTCTGATGGCAAGGGTTGATAGTCCACGGACTAATATTTATGGTGTGCTCTCTACGCATTCATCCCACCTGGCTAGGTTGGTCCAATTGAGTCGTAGTGCGACTATCAGTTCGGATCATCCTTTCAAAGGTCCAACACGGCAGCAAATTATGTTGTGTATGCCAAAATACCTCACTGGGTCGTTTACATACCTAAATGTGATCTACATACAGAGAAGTATTAGTACTTTATATTAAACCGTATATATATAAGAGGCTGTCACAGGAAGAGTCTGGAAGAGTTCCCATCACCCAGCACTCGCCCCGCAAAACCAACCTTTTTCAACAAGTAGGAAATTTAGGTTACAAGCATTTCCCCTCACTACCACGACCAAACGGTTCTTCAGTCGTTCGTCGAAACCTTACAGTCATCAGTTCCACTAGTGTGGCACTGGAATCCTCCCTTTGTCCTCTTACAATATCGTCAACGTCAAGTCTGCTCTCACGCTTCTGTCAAATACCACGGCCGACTAATTCCCCCATCCATAGACTTTTTTTTGTGTTTGCCTTCAAGTTCCCGAACATTTAAACATGCAGTACCCAACGTGCACGAGGCTACGTGTGAGGTAGTGTAGTCTGCAAGACCGCTATTTGTTACCTTCACCATCTGTCAGGTCACCACAGGATGCACAAGTAATATTCCATGCTGTGGCACTAGGCGTGTTGCCAATGGTCACCAGACGCCTGGACGCGGAGGAAAGAAGGGCGATCTCGTCCGGCAGTGTCTACGTGTGGGAAGAACGTGGGCCCAACCCAGAGGCCACTGGAGTAGGTGGCACGCTCTGATTTCAACCAGCCCTGACCCAACCAATACAACTAGCTTGGCATTGAACGATGGACTGATGGGAAGCGGTTAGATTTACGACCCTGCCTTATCGTACGTGAGCTCAACGGCTATCACCCAGATGGGGTCCCAGTCGCGTTCGCGATGTAAGTCTGGCGTGGATCATACGAGTGCAGACTGGTGACGTGGCCACAGGAATTCTTGTTTTATCAAGAGAAAGATCCAGAGCCAATAGATGTGGAGATAAACTCTGATTCGGACACCACGTTTGTTGCAGTCAGTCCCAACTCATGATTCTTGCTGACCGTTGCGCAGCCTTGGTTCTAGCAATCGCCTTCAATCGGCAGCTCGACACCAGTCGGCTCGTTCAAGTCTCGTGAAACAAACGTATTCCGTTTTCGTTGATACTTCTCGTGGGCGTCGAAAGTGGCATCTCAGTATGTGAGGTCTGCTTAATGATCGGAAACCGAGCTTAATCTTCACAGTCGCATATTTCACCAGCGATACCGTTGATTACTTGCGAACGGTGTCTGACATTCCCGAACTTGCATCGCTCGACGTGCCATCAGGAAAATATAGAAGTGCTCGACACAATACCAGTCGGTCAAGCCGTGTCGTTCGTGAAGAACAGGCGTCCTATCCGCTGGTTCACATGCAATATGTGCCATATCTCTCCCCCGCGCGCCTGTCACACGATACCTACGCCAATAATGGGTCGTCAAAGGTTGTTCCCCCAGCAGATGACTCCCAAACACACAATTCCACAAGGAATGGCAAAATTCTTGCGCCCCTGGTATACCTTCAGAACCTTCCTCCTCCCAAAAGGCACTCGGTGGACGAGGAAGCTCTCATGTCTTTCTTTCCTTGTTTAGATTGATATTTTTTTTTTTTTTTTTTGATCTTTGGTCCCATGTTACTCGCTGGAGGACTTTGTTTCTCAAGTCATGTCTCTATACATAGCATTGGTGTATGATTGGTTGTGTGTGTCTCCCTCGATACTTGTTCATGTAATCTCAGATTGATCAAAACACCCTTGAGACTTGCCATACATGTATCGCCACTCTGCAGCTCGCTCTCACGACGTGCATGTTCCGGCGAAGCCCTGCACGACAGCATTGTTTTTTTCGCGAGTTGTCGCCTGACTGCGTGTGATCTCCGTTTCGCCACTTACCAAGTCAAGACCGAACGTTTCCGAGTGAGGGGGACCTATACAAGGCAAAGGCCGAGCTTAGGTAATGCTCCACAAACGCCGCCTGTGTACCCGGTTTAAGAGGCACTTGGAATGTGGACGTGATGAAGGACCACTCTTTGACAGATTCAGAACGTGAATTCAGGGTTGACGATGTCATCCCCAGGGCTGATGGTCCGGGACGACCAAACTGGTAGTCTATGTGTTGTGGCTTGGGCCTTGTTGTAGGTGCGAGCGGATTAAGGTTGGATTTTGGAATGCCGCTCAGGAGCTGCTAAGAAACATTAATCGCCACCCTCGAATAGGACTAGACGATGTATGCCTGAGTTTGGAGAAAAGGTGCGGGGCCCTGCATGATGCACAATACAATTGAGGCGCGCCATTCAGGGGAAGTCAACTTGGCTTCTGTTCACTACGCCAAAAAATTATAGGCCATGGCAGGTTCGGCCAGCTCCGTTCCCGTGTCAAGTGTTAGTGCTCGATATGGATCAAGGCCCCCACTTGGATAGGCGAATGAGTGTTATCCCAATGCACAGTTGTTTTCTATGGGCAGAATTGCACATACAACCACTTCGAGACTGGAAAATCAGCAGGATGCACTCTCAAGCGAATTAGGGTTGTTTAGCGTTTTAGCGCATTTCTTTTGAGTCGGACGGAGCCGGTTCGATGGAAGGACCCCCCACCAGATTAGTAGCGCCAAGGATCGCTTGATAATGCCAGGGTAACGTGATATGATACCTGCCGTAGCGGAGCTTACTAGTGTGTATATGGGCGTTGTTTACACAGAACGCACATGAATGTTATTGGTGCAGGGAGATGGAGTCAGGGCAACCCTGCAAGGTCAAACCCTATTTCAAATTTGATCTGTCGCCTGGCCCGATCGCGGGAGTTTTGCCTGCGAATAGATTTAGGGGGCGAGACCTCGAAGGTAATGGGAGGGTTTTTACAGTACAGAGTGCCGCGAGCGGATGGTAACCAGATGGAATTGCGAATTGGAAGGGTAATCATGTAAGAAAGAGAGGCAGAGACAGAGGAAAAAAAGAATTTAAGCTGTAAAGTGATAGAGTTTTCACACGGTAATCGAGATTGGCGACCAACCTTTTGGATCATCAGCACCAATAAGGTGCAGACTTGATCAGGTTATCTCCAGTTGGACGTTTTTTGTGACAAAATCTCGATTCAAACAAACCCCCAAGTCAGAAAAAAATAGTTTAATTAATCACGAGATCATCCCCCTTCCCCCAGATCTAGGACCCAATATATACTCGCTGCTCATCCTTCCACCAGTACTTGGCAGCTGTTCCATACCCTCCTCCACTTGCCATGCAACAGAAGCCAACGTGCACGAATGTTCGCATCCGCTCCACTCGCGACGCTCACAAGATATTTTACGCTGTGCAGCTCCGTATCCTTCCCATGATTACGAGACGTCTCGACGGCGACGAACGTCTCGCTCTCTGTTCTGGTTGTATCTATGCATGGGAGGAGCGCGGCCCTCACACAGAAATAACTGGTTTGGGAATTGAACGTTTTACAGAAGGCAAACGCTGGAGCCCTTCCCGCGTGCGAGACGTGCGTGCTGGAATCCTACCCATGGCCAGAGTCATCATATACTTGCTATAGGAGTTCCTTTTTTACTATGAGAAGTACACGCCACCGACGGAGGCTGGCGGTTCCGGGTAAAAATAACTTGTCCAGATCCATCGTTTGTTTCGCTCACCATCCAATTTCAGGGCATCTGATAAACAACCCCCTCGTGACTGGGACCCTCTAGTAAAGCAGACATACTCGGTGTGGGTTGAAACCGAGAAAGGCCGGCGTAAATGGCACCTTAGTATGCTGGTTTCCTTGCTCTTCTTGACGGTACGTTACTCAACCGAAATAGCCGCTTATTTCACACAGGCTACGGTCGACCAACTAGGCACCATTGATGATATCCCAGGTGTGGCTGAACTTGTTGTGCCGGAAGGTACATTCCAAAGCACTCGTGTTAGCAAGAGTCGCAAAGGTGATGACTCTCGAGCGCGCTCCGACCTCTTGAAACCAACCAGCTCCTCTGTGACAAGGACGTATGCCCCATTTCCCTCAGCTTACCCAATTCAGGCCAATTCATTCTCTACACCCACGTTTGTGCAAGAACCTGGTCGCCTAAACTCATACGCCTCTCACACTTCATGTCAGTCTTCGGAAGCTCCTCAGTATTCTGTTCCTACACCCTTGTCACCTGTGACAAGCTCCTCTCCCACTTTCTCAACAACTCGATCCGACGATGACGCCGACTATAAATGTCGCCGCCCGTCCTTACCCACAAACAGTCCACCCGCTTCAGACAATCGGCGTACCTCTATGGATTACAGCATGCGAGTGGATTCATCGACTCTAGTTGCCCGGGAGAAGGGAATTGCACCAGTAACCACATCTGATTACCGCCGCCGAGATGAGCAATACCACTTGCCTCCCACCGCGCGTTGTGATATGGGTTTGCCTTCTGCCCGTGATAGTGGTGCAGCTTTCTCTCGCAACACATCACCTTACTCCTACAACCTACGTTCTTCCCGATCACCGCAGGGGTCGTCCTCTTCTGACTACGGAACGCCTGTGCTCGGTTATACAACCGTTTCCGGCCCTCGAGATGCTGTCTCTAGCGGCAACTCTTCCTACCCATATTCTCCATATACTGCGCCATCATATACAACTCGTGGCACTTCTCAAATTTCTTTACCACCTCCTGCCCAACTACTTAGCCCAGAGCGCCCCAGCCAATTATATGAAGTGACGAGTTCCTTACAAGAGAAACCTACAGGAATTGGATCACGTAGGGTAGACCTTGCACCACTGCACTCATTGAAACGGAGTCACCCGTACAAGAGAGATCCCGTAGATGACAAGACGCTCCGGTTGCTCGTTCAGGGTGACCATTTTCTCTAGTCGGTCAAACTAGAAGAGTTGAAAGTACTTCACTGACACTTCCAATGCTCCAAGGCAGCTGCTCCACCAACTAGGTGCTAGCATCCACTCTGCGATCACGCCAACGGGAGCGAAGCGAGGGCTGGGAGACGGGGTTTCTGACTATGAAATCATTACTCACGCCAAATGTTCCCCTGACAGTAGTGTGTGCACTCTTATCCCAAGTACAGATTCATTCAGGTCCGCCTCTCCAAGCCGATGGGCATGGTGTTGACGGTTGTGTGCACCCTAAATCACTTGTACCGTAACTAGAAGGGACACGTATGGAATACACTATCCCTCAAAATGATAGTCTACGTTACGCACACTCATACTAGCGGCTACAATGAACTCAAAAGAATACGATGTCGTTGTGTGATAGTTGTCGCTAGTGGTGCTCGTGTGTCAATAGGCCGCTGACTGGGACCCTGCAACTCTGCTGGAAGTTCCCTCAGTCTTTCGGCCCACCTGCAATATCTACCGACTCGGGTGGTATGTCTCGCTACCCCGCTATCGGACTCTGGAGCCGTCCAAGGTACTACACCAGGAATCCCAGGATTAAAGGTAAAGCCACCGTACGTGGGTTACAGTAGCTAAGGTCGAACGCCCAGACAGTGCCCTACGTCTCAGATGACCGACAATGAATGGTGGCACCAGCGAACCAGATGTTTTGATTCTGGCACGTTCTGGGTCACGTCATATTGTGTTCGATTGTTGGTGATGCTCCAAATCAGTGTGATAATGGTCAGGGCTCAGGCGAGGCCCTATATCACCTGTCCCCGAGGAGAATTTCGGACGTTTACACGTTGATCATGACCCCTTGTACCGTAATTTTGCTGGATAGGCTTGCCAATCGACGAGATTGCCAGGGTAAGGGAGCCTTACATCCACCTGCAAGTTATAACCGTTATGTCAGATCACATCCCCGTTCTTCGAAGGATCATGAACATAATTCATAGCCCTCGTGATCTTGTTCCATCATGCCGACAATTGTTGCCGGCCGAAAATGACTGAATCATTGCGATACCTTCACACCAGTAAACGTTTGTTAACCTTATCACCTGTGAATACCCCTTCCCCATCTGCAAAGTAGGTTAGCAGAAGGAACAATCCACCGAACTCATCTCTGAACAGATTGCTGAGTCCGAAGGTATGTCAAATTGGGTTGGCCAATTGTAGTTCTGCCGACCAACGTGCGTCATAATCGAGTTCTGTAGCTTGCTGTCAATCTAGACAAAGTAGGTAACATGTACCACGCGAGCTGTTGAAAAAGGACGCTGCTTCAATCAATTTGACAGTCTACTCAAACCAGGCAGAATCCTTGATCGAACAGTTCGACCCTGGGTGTGACGGCAATAATAATGACACGTTTGCGCATCCCATTGGGTCGTCGAAGCCCAGGCTCGTGTTGAGGAAGCATCGTTTTATGACGTTGGAAAGCGAAGCAAGGAGCCTATACTAAGCAACATCGGGGCTTACTTTCTATCTCAGTACATTGACGGCACCGTCGTGAACAGAAGGAGTCAAACATTGCATCTACAAATCATTAACGTCGCATTCACTCTCGCGGCGGAGTTATCAAGACGCTAACTCATATTTGGGCAGAAGGCGCAACCTTGGCTAGTGCTGAGTTCAGCTTCATATGGCAGTGGAAGGCAATCAAATTACTCACCTATGGATGGTTGATTGGCTTTCTGCTGCGTACCTCGTACAACACCTGCATGCTGGCTTCCTTCTGAACCCTAAGGACCAAGTATGACTAGTGTTTGTTGTTCCCCTTTATCTCAGTAGGGCATATGGCAACTCAGCCGGGTTCAAGATGCAAATCGTGTAAGCCAAGATTTTGTCTATCTAGATGACGGGGAATTTTGGGGAAAGATTTAATTCCTTCTGGGGTGCAGTTCGAATCGCTAGAAAAGTTCGTCAGCGCGTTATTTTCGAGACCAGGCAATTGACTCACCGAGTTTAACTTGAAAGTCGTGGCCGTATTTCTGAACACAATTCAGATCAAGCTTGAAAGAGATACAGATCTAATGTCACGATATTATACATCGAGCGACGACTTCGCTGGTAATGTTGAGTGCTGTGTATCAAGTGCAATGCAGATAGTGACAAATGGAGATAAGAGCCAAAGAAGGCAATTCGACGTGACTACCACTCAAATTCCCTGTCGTACCAATTATCAGAAGTTACTTGCTCATTCCACGCCATAACTCACCCTGTGCACTTTGTAAATAAGTAATCCTTCCCGTTGACATGGATCATTCCATCCTTCAATATGCATTTCCACTTATTCTTCACTCGCCCCACCTAGGAAATGGTAAACGCATGGATGGGCGCCAAAAAAATCTATGCGGAGTGACGCAAACCTTGTCATAAGTGCAGAAGACAATGTCAGTGTCTCCCGGGCCACCTTCTTCTGCATCTTCTTCCCCTTCTGTGTCGGAATCATCAAGGTCGCTATTGATTGCTTCAGAATCCCCGGGTTGTGATCCTGACGTCTGTGATGGTTGCGGAAGCGACGGATGGGAGGGACGAGGCGCATATGATTGATTTGGAGGGGGTGATGGTGATTCTGACTCGGATGATGAAGGTCCATCTGCTTGGGGAATTTTCTGCGGGCTTGAAGGTGGCCGCGATTGCGTAGGCGGCGTCGGCTGGGGAGGCGTTCCTTGTTGTGCCTGGGTAACTGAGGTTTGCACAGAAGAAGATGGGGCTTGCGATGGCGGTGCCGGGGGTTGATAGGATCGAGGAGCTGCAGTAGGACGGGCGAGCTGAGCGGGGTGAGGAGGGAAAGAAAGAACCCCTTGTTGTCCACCAGGATAAGTGGGTGCTTTTAAGCCGTTCAGCTGGGGTCCGGGAAGCGGCGGTAATGCGTAGGACATTCCCGGTGGTGCACTCAAAATATATCGATTATCGACGGGTTCCGTCTTCACCTGAGTTGGTTGAGCCTGCTGTTGTGGGGAAACGACATAGGGGTTATGGGGTGGTGGGTAGTGGGGATGGTGTTGCATCATGTGGATCGAGTGTGCGGGATAAACAGGATGCTGGGCTGGTTGTTGTGGTGGTTCGAAATCCGCAACCCGCGAGGCGATTACTTTACTTTGCCACTTCTAAACGGGGGGAAGGGGAGTAGTCACGTCGTGAGCAGCGCGGAGACGGCACTACTCACGTGTTGCAAATCAGCCAGGACATCCTCACTGACCCCGAACTCGTCGAACTCGGGCTTAACGGCCGCAATAACCTCGTCAATGACTTGGCGGTACACCACAGGCTCAAGGACTCTCTGTTATCCAACTGGACTACTACAACGAAGGCCGGGTGAGCAGCTCACCACTATCTTATTCGACATTGTGAACGGTGCCGTCGATACTGATTCACCGAACACAGCGAGGCTCTCCTGAGGGGGTACTGGGTGGTGGGAAGAGGGCAAGCTTTTATACTTGAGACACTTGCAGGACAGGCCCTGGAATTCAAACTCCGCCCCCAGCCATAGCGACTCCCACGCTCGGACCACCCTGCGCGTCACGTGATTTCTGCAGTGAAATGGTGATTACCTAACACACAGGATGCCCACCTCCAACGGCATCGACGATGCGTGGATTTTCTGCATGTCTACTGTTTCTTGGCCTGACACGGGCTGCCGATGTCTACCTCAGTCCACCCGAGCTGTTGCCTGCTCGTCTCTCACCACACCAAGCGAGCCAGGTGCTAGCAGCACACCTTGGTCTCGACCAGTTCGAACAACTGACCCAAGAGTCTGTAAAGTTGGGCCACCTCGTCACCGAACGGGATTTCGTAGCTAGCGGCAACCGGAATGCTTTGCTGCTTCTCATGGACGAGAGATATGCTCCAGGTAAATTTCACTCCGCCCATGTTACTTCTTGGAACCTGTAACGAGCTTCGCCAGACGTCCTTCCACCAACCTTGCTACCAAACTTCTCTTTCTCTGAGCCAAGCAAAGACCTTCTATCCACATTTCTGAAGATGTGCACGCGTCGTGCAGCCCATATTTTTTCTTATATCTTTGCTGCTCGCTCCGTGCCAACCGAAGGTGTTCCGCGCGCTCTGGACATTTTCTCCGCCCCAACACCCGCCAACGAAGCTTTCCTTGCCGAAATTTCAACGCTTACGGATTATATCGACGCTAATGTTGATCGTTTCGCTGGCGTTCAACTAACTAGCATCCCCCAGCTTGCAGCATCGCACGGTCGGGAAAGCGAATCATACCGGATGGCTACGCAAGCTGTGCGCGGCGCAATCGAGGCGGCACTTTCTGACCGGTCTATACATTTTGCACTTCTGACGTATACGTCGCCCCCTGCGCAGAAAAGAACTCCACAGTTCTCGCAGCAGAGTTCCGCCCCCTCAAATGTTCAACAAACGTCCACGCGCCCATCGGAAGATTGCCATGCCTCCGAATATGCGTGTCTGAATGCAACGAATACATGCTCTGGACACGGATCGTGCGTCAGCACTACTAGTCAAGAGGGACAATGCTTTGTGTGTTCCTGCGAAACAACGAAGAGCGAGTCTGGACAGACACAAATCTGGGTAGGAGACATGTGTGAGCGACAAGATATTAGCAGGCAAGTACCTAGCTTCCCGTATGCGACATCAGCTCACACTATTCTAGTCCGTTCGTTTTGCTTGCCGGGACTGCGCTAACCCTGTTCTTGTTGATGGGCGGATCGATATCATTGCTCTACGCTGTAGGTAGCCAAGAGTTTCCGAGCATCCTGACGGGTGGTATTACCGGAGCTCTACGCAAAGAGTAATGACCATTGGGATTGCTAGACGGTGTCTCGACAGTCTAATACACTTGGAACGGCCCACTTGAGTGACAGCCAATTGATGAGCTCAATCAAAGTCGTAGCAGTGCAAACTTTCGTACCGCATGCTTCTAAGGCTCATCACTATTGTAGTGTTGCCGTCGAACCAAACTCAGTTCGAAGTGGATCAAAGTGGCAACTCTGGCCCACTTCGATACATCTGAACTGGGACAAACTGCACTTTGTTCACCTTGCAAGGTCTGTCTGGAGTGTGCATGATAGCTTACTCCAAATTGGCAGCAAATTTTTATCTATGTAGGATGGTAGATAATGTATCTGTGGTTTGGTCAGTTGTGGTAAGTTTGGTCTCAGCAGGATGCATGAGCAATCTTCAAAGATGTGGAGGATTGGTGGCACACATAATGACATAGACCTGCAGACTTGTACTCCAAGTGTCTGGACAGCATCAACAATCCCCAGGTGATAGAATGTTGCTATGGGGTCTGCACTGTGGTGGGGAACAGTAGTGAAGTTGAGTGACAACCATCCTCAATCATTGAGGCCTTTGAGGGATTGGATTTGGGTTCTGCATGCAAAGGGTGGGTGGTTGGTTTCTTCACAGGAGAAGAACCAAAAGCTGTGTGACTTGCAACACTTCTTTGCACAGCTCTGGCATCTGTGACACTGCTCTCTAGCAAAGTAGCTGCTTGCAGTACAGGGGCAAGGCATCTCCCTTGCCAGGCATGTTTTAACTGTCAAAACACATATAATAGCATTGTACAAGTAGCAGTACATTCATGACCATGGAGGGCACCCACACACATCTGACAGCATAGGCAATCATGCAAAATCACATTGTAGTGGTCCACTGACCAGGTCATCTGCATGACATTCTGTGACATAATGGTTGCAAAACCCCAATGTATCCAATTTTTCCCACCTCCTAAGCCCATGTGACTGGAGTTAATGGTCCCAAAGCCCTGAATGATCATTGGCAACAAGGAGTTTACAGACCTGGCCTGACAGTGTCCAGGAACAGTGGCTCAAAAAAGTGTCCCAATGTTAGGTGAATTTGGAAAGAGTTGAGATTTATGAGAGAGCCAATAGGGATTAGTTCAAACTCCTGCAGGACCAAAGGTAGTACTAACTGTTGCCTTGACAACATGGGCTTTCTTATGTAATTCAGTTGACATGGCACCAAGATATGACCATTTTAAAATGACATGTCATTGGGACACTTTTTTGAGCATGATGTTGTCAGTCATTATTTAGTAAATAATGTAAAGATTTGACAACTTCTGAGGGATTTTGTGCTTCAACCCTGATTGATTATGTAATGTACATAGTCCTGAGCCATAGAAATGGCTTGGGTCCCACTCAGCTAACCCTACTTCACCATGAAATGCACTTTTGCCTCTGCTAGAGCAAATATCCATCTTCTTTCTGAATCTGGCCTTTCTGCTCATCAAATCTCCTCTACAACTGGTCAGGGGAGCTCTACTGTGGCCAGGTTCACCAAAGAGTTCCATCCAGATTAAGGAAAACCTCAAATTAGGGACCCCATGTAGTCCATTTAGTCACAACACATGGGCAGCCTGTGTGCCAAAACACCAACACTTATATAGACCCTGAGATGGGCCCACCTAAATAGATTAGCCAGTACACATGGACAGGCCCAAGGGACTAAAGTGAGAGCAACATATGTATGGGCCTGTAAGTGCATTACCACAACATATGGGAGGGCCCATGGTGGGTAAGGATGTTGAAACATTTAGACAGGCCCATGACCAATTAAGAATACTGAGCTGCTGTAAGACATGGACAGGCCTGTCCTGGTAGGTTACACCCCAGTCACAACATCAAGGTGGGCCCAGGAGGAATATCATTTATGGTGTCACAACATATGGATGGGCCTGTCAATAGTAAGATGTACTGCTGTTGAAACATAAAGACAGGCCTGTCACTAATATCATTTAATTGAGTCACAACATAAGGTCAGGCCCTTCAGTAGTATTATTTATATTGTCACAACATATGGGTGGGCCTTGCCTCAGTAAGATGTACCCTGTCAAAACATAAAGATGGGCCCATCACTAGTATCATTGAATAGAGCCACAGCATATGGATGGGCCCTTCAGTAATATTATTTATATTGTCACAACATATGGATGGGCCTGTCCACAGTAAAATGTACCTCTGATGAAACATAAAGACAGGCCCATCAGTAATCTCATGTATAGCATCACAACATATGGATGGGCCCTTCTGTAGTATTATTTATATTGTCACAGCATATGGGCAGGCCTGGCCCCAGTAAGGTGTACCCTGCTGAAACATAAAGATGGGCCTGGCACTACTGGACGCAGTATCCCTGGCACCCACTGAACAGCAGCTTTCCATGGACACCATGCTGGCATGAATTGGAGATGATTTGAGTGACCCAGATCTTGCAAGCTGCACCCTGGATGTATTTGGCATTAATCAGACTATTTCCAGCCATCCACCCATCTGTATTGAGCAGATGTGGTATCCCCAGCACCTGCTGAACAGCAGTTTTCCATGGACACCATGCTGGCATGAATCAGAGATGATTTGAGTGACCCAGATCTCACAAGCTGCACTCTGGATGTATTTGGCATTAATCAGACTATTGCCAGCCATCTGCCCATCTGTATTGAGCAGATGTGGTATCCTTGGCAGCTGCTCAACAGCAGCTTTCCATGGACACCATTCAGGCATAAATTGGAGCTGATTTGAGTGACCCAGATCTTGCAAGCTCCACCCTGGATGTATGTGGTATTAATCAGACTATTGCCAACCATCCACCCATCTGTATTGAGTGGATGCAGTATCCCCAGCACCCACTGAACAGTGACTTTCCATGGACACCATTCCAGCATGAATTGGACATGATTTGAGTGACCCAGATCCCACAAGCTGCACCCTTGGTGTATTTAGCATTAATCAGACTATTGCCAGCCGTCTGCCCATCCACATTGAGTGGATGCAGCATCCCCAGCACCTGCTCAACAGCAGCTTTCCATGGACACCATTCTGACGTAAATTGGAGCTGGTTTGAGTTACCCATGTCTCACAAGCTCCACCCTGGATGTATGTGGTGTTAATCAGACTATTTCCAGCCATCCACCCATCCATATTGAGCTGATGTGGTATCCATGGCACCCACTCAACAGCAGCTTTCCATGGACACCATTCTGGCATGAATCAGAGATGATTTGAGTGACTGTCAAGTCCAGGCCTACTCTGACCAGCTCCAACACTGGATGAGGTCTGGGGAGAGGTTTGGAAGCAAGTCTGACAGAAAGAGCAGGACTCCAACTGGTGGAGTGTTGGCAAGAATGAAGTCTGCCAAGGTAAGGGTGGAGTGAGGTGAGGGTGTTGGGTTTAGCTTGTGCACTACCCCCTTGCATGATCTCAGCCCTTGTATTTCAGAGGGGGAGTACAGATGGACAGTCAGAGGTAGCTCTGACAGGCAGAAGATGGAGACAGGGAGTAGGAACTAAGTTGATATTTGTACTGAGGAATGGCAGAGTATGATACATGCTTTTATACTACTATGGAGGTACAGTAACCAGAATCAGAACTGACATATGGAGACCCAGAAATTTTCAAGTAAAACTTCCTAGATGACAAATGAAGGGTAGACAGAGGACATATGAATGGGTAACATAGCACATCCAGAAAAGGAAACAGTCCAGGTGCTGGACCATGTGGTGCACATGCTGTGGAGTACCTGACTGCAAGCTGTCAGGGAGGAGTCTGAAGGTAGTCACATGACCCCTCAGAGAACAGTTTGTTCAGTCTGGTAGGAGAGCAGTACAGGTCCAACAGCAGTTGGAGTGGAGATGACTCATAAATGTCAGGGGGTGGGCAGAGTTGGTGCAGAGTGAGTGAATGATTGGTGGAAAGGGGTGCAGAGTGAGTGAGGACTTAGGATGAATGCATGATCATGACAGTGACCCAGATCTTGCAAGCTGAACCCTGGATGTATGTGTAATTGATCAGACTATTGCCAGCCATCTGCCCATCTGTATTGAGCAGATGCAGTATCCTTGGCAGCTGCTTGACAGTGGCTTTCATGGACACCATTCCAACATGAATTGGAGCTGATTTCAGTGACCAAGATCTTGCAAGCTGCACCATGGATGTATGTGGCATTAATCAGACTATTGCCAGCCATCTGCCCATCCATATTGAGCAGATGTAGTATCCCCAGCACCCACTGAACAGTGGCTTTCCATGGACACCATTCTGGCATGAATTGGAGCTCATTGGAGTAACCCAGATCCTGCAAGCTGCAGCCTGGATGTATGTGGCATTAACCAGACTATTGCCAGCCATCTGTCCATCCATATTGAGTGGATGCAGTATCCCTGGCACCTGCTCAACAGCAGCTGTCCAATGACACCATTCAGGCATGAATTGGAGCTCATTTGAGTGAGCCAGATCCTGCAAGGTGCACCCTGGACGTATGTGCCATTCATCCAACTGTTGTGAGCCATCCACCAATCTGTATTGAGCAGATGTGGTATCCCTGCCCCTCCCCTCAACAGCAGCTTTCTGCAGACACCATTCCCACATGAATTGGAGGTGATTTCAGTGAACATGCCCATCAAGGAGGATCCAACAGACCCACCAGGAATTCAGGCTCTGGTTGTGGATTGAGCAGTAGATCTACTCATGGTGGAACCAAGGGCAAGAACCTGGCTTCATCTGGCCAGCAGGCTGTCACACTACTGGTGACATATCTACTACAGAAGGTCTTCAGCTGAAGAACATCAACTGGGACATTCCTCATACTGATATACTTGTCAACTGGTTGCTCACCCATCCTGCAAACCAGAGAATCCTTTTTAGTGATAAGATCACAACTGTCTCACCACCTTCACCTGACAAGGGGCCAGTGGGCCATAACAAGAAAGAAGTTCAAGCAATTATTGCAAAAGTCATATTCAAGAATGATCCCTACTACAAGGACATGTACATGGCAGGCACTGCTAAGTTCCAAGTTAGCCTAGGCAACCACATCACTATGTCAGTCTCCTCTTCATATTTTATCTGTGATTTTTTAATGATCATTTAGGCTGAAGGGATCATATTGCAAGTGCCATGCATGCTTTAAACAATCAGGGGAAGGCATTATGCCTGGTCATGCAAGCCATGCAAATCTCCATTGTAAGTTATCAATCAATCTAGTGGGATTACAGTTGCTGATGTGTATGATTACAGAAGCTGTTCTCAACACTTTACCCTGGTATGATGATCTGCATTCCATCTGGCAGGGCAACCCCTCCTTTGACTCTGACCCAATTAATTCTGAGCCAGACAAAATTGTGCTGAAGATTTTTTAGCCATTGTCCAAAATAAATCATCCAGTATGCAGAAGACTTCAGACTTGGGAGTGGGGTCACCTGCAACTCCAGTGGATGAAGGTACCCCTTTGAATACTGGAACCAAGGAAATGCATGGTGATCAAGATCTGGAGGATGGTGAAGTTGACAAGAGGATGTCTCATGTTGGTGATCTAGTCATGAATGAGGGGGATGAATTTGCCAATAGTATCTTTGATCTGGAAGGCACAGACCCTGGCTGTGGAGATGGAGAGGATGTTAACATGGACTCAGTGTTGGTTCATGGTGATCAGGTGTGTTTCTATTGGGACATCACTAATGGATCATTGTTAATGAATCAGCAGTCATATCCTCAGCCATTGACTCCTGAAGTGCGGTCTCAATTTTCCCTCCCTCACAAGTCTCACACACCTTTCTTGGATAATTGCTCTGCATTCCACCAATCGCCATACCTTCATCCCCCCACTTCCATTGGAAGTGTCATTTCCTCTGCATCATCATCATCTAGTTCTTCCCACAAGGGGAAGGCTGTCATGAGGACCCTGTGGTCCTCATCATCCAAGACAACATCAACAGAGGCAAGTTCTCTCCCAGTTGCTCACAACAAGTCTCAACTTCAAAGCCAGGTCATTGACTTGAGTCAAGAGGCCAAGTCAATACTAGCATCCTTGTCTTCTGGTAAGAGTGCATGGTACCTGGCAAAAATGCAGTATATGCTGAAGGATCAGGAGCTTGAGTTGAGGAAGGAGCAGCTCAGGATGCAGTGGAAAGATGTGGAGGATAAGCATCAAAGGGAGCAGGAGCTCCAGAAGCTTGATATTGAGCTGAAGAATGCTGAAGAAAATGCCTTCATGAAGGAGGCCAAAACCCTTCAACTCAAATTCAACTCACAGAGCTCATGAAGAGTGGTGGCAGCTCTGGCTCAACATCTTCTGACCCCACTGCTTAGGCCAGCCACCCTTCACAATCACATCCATTTCTTTTTTTAATCCATTGTTGCATCTTGGCTTGGCTCATCATCTTCTCTGTTGTACTTGTGTCTCAGTCCCAGTGCATTGCATGATCATTAAGTACATGCTCACCCCATACTGTATTACTTCTCTGTCTCCCCTGTACTCACCCCAACACTGTATCAAGATGCAATGTAGGGTACATTTCACTTGCAGAATGTGTGTGGTATCATAAGTGACTTCTCCAAGGTCAGTCATAAATGAAGACCCCTTATGCACCCTCATCATCAATGGGTGGGACTTAGCTGATTCCTACAGCATCACTAGCTACACTCCTTCAACTTTATATGGTGACTGTTTTGGTCCATTTATACTAGGTACATTTGTGCCCCAGATATTGGAACAGCTCATCTAACAGCCTCATTCAAAATCACTGACCTGGTGTTCCCACAGCCTCTCCTACCACAACCATGTCACCATCCTGTTGGCCCAACCCCTCCTCCATTGCCCACCAACTTGAGGGCTTGATGATGCCAACCATCTCCTCCTCAAAACAGATCACCATGTTATGCAAGATGATGCAACACATTACCCAGTAAACTGTGACCTTAACATCCCTCTTGTTCTGGATTTTCAAGTGCAGCTCACAGAGACTCTGAAATTGACCCTTCAAGGCAGCAAATGTGTGCTCAATGCAGATGCAGCCCTTTCAACATGATTAGCATGCATACCAGTATGAGGTAAGTATCACCTTAGAAAGATATTTGTTATATAAATTCTGATCATGAGATAGCCACCTGCCCTTGGGTTTTTTTAAAGGAACAGTGCACCATTCCTCTGTGGGATATGTGCTATCTGCCCAGGTCCAGTGATCTTCAGGGATAAGGTCTCCCAGTTGTGATGCAATGCAAGTACCTTGAAATGCCCATGTGTCATGGACACTTCCAGGGTGACCAAGCCCATAGTCAACCATGAGAAGGTTGTGCAGCATGATAACAGGCTATGAGCAGTAAGTATTCCATTTTGTGTGCATTGGAATACACACCTGACAATTGAGTGAATACCTCAATTTCTGTCATAGAAGCTCTCCCCAAATATTTGGGGCTTTTTGAAGAGTGGAATCAATGAGCTGTCTGCAGCAAAGACTCCATTTCTCCATGCTGGACATGTCTGTGATTCAGTGAAGGTATGCGCTCTTTCCATATCCTCTGAGTTGTGAGGGGGAATATTGACAAATGTATCATGCTCATCCAGTATTGTGACCATGACCCAATTGGTGAAGTTGATCACCAATCCCACACTAACCCCAGCCCACTGGGCCACATCCTGTGGCGATGACACATTCCCATAATGCCCTGCATGGAAAAGGAAAGTTGCAAGTTGAATGGCAACTGGCAACTGACAATTTTCAGAGCTACTATGAAATATCAGGTGGCTACTTATTTGATCAAGGATGCAATCAAAAACTTCTTGCCATACACAAAGGCATCTAAGGAACAGATGAGGGTGATGGTTGGCAAAATGGTCAAGCAGGCTGAGCTGTGATGACTGCATCAATGGTACAGCAGGTTTTTCAAGAACCTGTGCATGCTCTACTTCATCCTTCAGAGCCTCAATCACATTCAGGAGCCATCCACACTGCCTATCCCTCTCAACCACTGAGTCTGTATCATCAGAAACACTGGAGTTGGAATCCATTGAGATCAGTGAGATCGGAGAGATTGGAGATGCCAGAGTAATGAAGAGGATGCTCTGAGATGAATCAGAATCCCTGTATGTTGCAGTTGAATTGCTATTATCACTACTATCAATACTATCAATTTCACAATGCACATTTTCCAGCCTGGCCATTGCTACTTGCAAGCTAGCTTCATCAAGTTGTCTGAGGAGATTTTTGCAGAGAGATTTGTGGGGCATTGTTCTTTGAGACTTAGCTATTTAATTATATGATATACTGCTAAAACTACTGTGATTTATTTTGAGTCTGATGGGATGCTGCACTGTTCAGCTTGTTGGAGTTGAAAATGTAGTGGCCAGAACATGTTTCCAGAGCCAGTGCCAGAACACAGACAGAGTGCTTCCAGTGCACTTCCAGTGCCACCTTGAGCACCACTAAATATTATTTCAATGACATAATTGACTTCTGTGATGGATTTGGGCTCTCAGATGGGCCCACATGAATCAAGTTTGCTCTCAAATATGCGCCGTTCGAGTCAGCTGACGTCTGGTCACATTTTGTGGATAGTGATGGAGATTGGGCTCGTTTTACCTCGGCCGTAGTCCAGCTGTACCCGGAGCTGGAGGAATCCAGCAGGGACTGGTTTTTCAGTCTCAGAAGTGCGTTTGAAGGCTCGGACACCATCTCAATATCTTCTCTGGGCGAGTATTTTCGCAGTTATTGTCATTATTTGGCGTCGCTCGAGAAGCAAAGAAGCCATCATCCCATGTAGCTTCAGCTTTTTTTAGTGGGTTCCCGCCCAAGTTCAGACGCGAGGTACTCAAGTATCTTGACTTGCCAAGTCGAAGGGTTACTGTGTCTAGCCCTATGGCTCCAGCTAAACAGGTTCTCGCACTCGGAAATGGCGTCTGGAAGTGCAGCGAGGCCAACAATTCACGCGCGCAGCCATCGTGCGCCTCAGACGATCATTTCCCCCGCCGATCATACTCGTTCTGCTTCTTCTGTGGACTTTCGGGCCATATTCGGGCAAGCTGCCATTCGTTCAAGCCGTATTTAGCTTCGGGAAAGTGTCTACTCATCGACGGCCGCGTTGTACTACCTACTGGACTGGAAATCCCGCGCGAAGTTGCCGGACGGACTCTACGAGACCGTCTTGACAACTGGTCTCTGTTGACAAGCCAGTTCGAGACTCGTACGGGCTTGTCGCCCACTCGCTCACTCTCACCCACAGCCGCACCCTCTCGAAGCGTGTTCGACACACCGTCGTGCATACCCGCTCAGACGAGCATTGTATCTACTCAGTCCCCACCTACTATCCAGCCCGAACCAGTAGTATTCGACCCGCCAGCCGTTCGCTCTCGTAGCTCACCGTATGCGCAGCCACAGTCGAGGTGGCCACATGGCCGAGGCCAATCGCCCTCGCGTCCTCGTTCACGGTCACGCTCGCAGACTCGAACGGGTTCGTACACGCATTTGAAAGATAAATTCATACCAGTCCAGTCGTATGCCTGCAGCTCGAAGCAGTATCGTGCTCGAAGGTGCTTGTATTCATACTCGACCAGTAGCTCACTCTATTTTTCTTCCTTGTCCTCGTCCTCGCGCTCTCGCTCACGCTCAAGGAAGGTGGATTCACGCACCCGCTCCAAGCCGAAGCGGTCGCGCAGCCGCAGTCGCGCGCCCCGGCATTCTCGAAGAGCGCGTTAACGCTCCATGTCACACGAGTTCTTTTAGGTTTTTCGTTTCTTTTTTTTGATTATGGATCTTACAGTATCTGGTATGGATTGACCTACGTCGTTATGCGGAATTTTTGGTACATTACACACATTTAGTTTTTCTTTTCTTTTTTTCCAGTGTTTTACCCCCCCAGGCTCGAGTCCCCCACAGAACGCCATCTAGCACCGCACCTGGCACCTTTCCCGCACTCTACACGACGCCTCGCATCCGCGGATACAGTTCTGACAAGGTGTGCCGTCGACACCACTCGTCGCTTGTCAAGGTGAATACTACTTCCCTTGGACCGAGCGCGTATCCAGCGCGTATCTCGCTCGTTTTCGCGCCGTTTCTCTCGTTTTTTTGGCAGGCTTATTCTACTCGACGTCAGCTCTCTGTCGGTACCAAGCTCGTTTGCATGCGCCCAGCCGTTCGGGAGATATTCGCATTTTTGTGGATAGGTCCATTCGCAAGGTCCTGTGGTCGTATCTCGCTCGTTTCCGCGTCGCGCCTCTCGCTTTTTGGGAGGATTGTAGTCCTCAACAAATGCTCCATATTGATATATGGATTATTCTGATAGGTCCAGTAGCTCCGGAGATACTTGCGTTGCTGTGCGAAGGCCCATCCTCGAGGTCTTGCTGTAGTCGTTTACGCAGCTCTGCGTCGCTCCTCTCGCTTTTCGGGTCATTCATCCCTCTCGCTGAGCCCTTCCTGGGGACACATAATTTATAAAATTCCACGCAACCGTTATCGAGATGTCATCGTTTTCGTATCCAGAGCGCTTCGAGACAGTCTTGCATATAACTCAGGATCGGCTGATCCAGCCGGCGTGTTTCCTCATTCTCCCTGTTCGTCTACAAGTCTCCTACCGCCTCCCGGAGTTTCGTGTTGGTTGTCGCAGCCGTTGTTGTGCGAGTCGACTCCTTCTCCCCACCTTTGAGGCCCTCTCGTCGTATCTCGCGCATCCGAGTACTGATCCTCTCTATTTCCCGGCAGCCCGTTCCCCTCGCATGTCCCTTTCTGGGGACGCCTCTTTTGTCAAATTCCATGCAGCTGTTGTTGAGATATGCCCGTTTTCGTGGTTAGAGACACTTTCGGACAACTCTCCGAATATCTTGCTCGTTTCTCGACCGGATATCTCACTTTTCGGGATCCTGATGTTACTGTTCGACAGCATCCGAACGGTACCTTTTCCGTCGTCGTCGCTACTGAACTTGTGGTTATGTTCGGTTTTTTGGTGGATGAGGGTACCTTTGGGCAGATTTGTGGATATCTCAGGATCAGACGCGCAGATTCTCTCTGTTCATTTTGCGCCGTGCTCGCTGCGCTACTGTCTTCCGTCATGACTCATATTGCGGCATTCCGAGCACCCATTTTTCGTCGACGAGTCGATGCCTCGCCCCCTCCCTCATGATTTTGGGATCCTGTGCAGTTGAGCTGCCTTCCAGTTGACTGGGGACAGTCAAGATCTCGAGTACCCCTGGGATGTAGGGAATGTAATTTCCCTACCAGGGGAATTGGTTTATTTTCCTTGTTTTACTTGGTTTTCATTCCTAGATACTTAGTTCGAGAAATTGGCAGTGGTGGTGAAGTGTGCCTGCCAACTGCAGTGGGTGCTCACACATGACCTGAGAGGCTGGGAATCCATGATGTCATGGGCCTCAGCCACCTTGGTGCCATGGCTGGCAGGGTTGGCATGCTGTTGTGTGCTGTTGTTTGGGTGCCTTGCCCCATGTTTAGATCCAGCTTATGTAAATGTCACAGTGATCACATCTTGTGATCAAGGACTCCTGAAGCTTCTGTGGGATTGAAGCAGTTATGTACTATGGTAGGACTGTGTCAGGTAGAACAATACATGATGGTATTGCATGTGCACATGCATGCTCAGGATCTGTGATGATGGGTGGATGAATGATGCTTGTGATTCATGATGTTTGTGTTGTGTGTTGTGTACATATGACAAGTGTACAACAAGTAGGCTACTGCACATGTATGAGTATGGTGACTAGTGATGTATGTAGTACATTACGAGCTTGGGTGATGCTGGGGTGATAGTATTGATAATATCAACAAGTGGATGATAGATGTATTAAGAGAAAAAAAGAAAAAAGAAAAAGAACAGGATGGCAAGTGTGATACACATCATCATTGCTGCTCACTGGTGCCTTGGAGCACCAAAGAAAAATTGTTGCAGACTTCTTCACTTGTGAGGCAACAACAGCACTCTCCAGCTCCACAATACCATTTGTGGGCAGCCAAGATCGCTTTGAGGAGCTTCATGTGTCCTTGACTGATGGCACTTCCATAAATCTTGAGGAAGGTCTCCTCATCCCCCTGGAATCTGGGGACCATGTCAGAGAGACTTGGGCAAGTGATAGGAAGTGCAACAAGTTGACTTACTCATTGAGGAATTCCATCACGATGATGCATTGCTGAGAGTACTTTGTGTTGAATTGACAGCTGCTCTTCCCATTGTAATAGTGATAAGGCCAGTCCTTGAGTGGAATGTGCAGGTCAAGCTGTGGCTCACCCTCTGTCCAGTGGCACACTATGTCCCTCCAAGAGTCTGACTTTGCAGTCTGTGTCCCATTGGGATGCAAAACAGGCACCTCCAGGATGACAACTCCCAGAAGGGAGGTAGAGGCACAGGCCTTGGTCCCCTGGGGTCCAACCTGTGAGGGGAGGGATGTTGAGAGCGAAAGATCTAATGGCTGGACAACTTGTGGCATCCTGAACTGCATTTGAGTTGGTTGTAAATTGAGTGTAGGTAGGTATAGTTGGGATGCTGGCATGGAAGCAGACTGGATCACTGGGGGCAACAAAGCTGTGGTCTGTGCAAGTGAATGCTGGTGGGCTGATCCATGTGGCTGGTTGGTTGGTGTGATGGAAGTCATAGAATGAACAAGACTCACCTGCTGTTGGAATGGAAGTGGACTGGATCACTGGGGGTGACAATGTTGTGGTCTGCACAGGTGAATGTTGGTAGGCTGATCCATGCAGCTGGTCAGTTGGTGCAGTAGAAGTCACAGAATCAACAAGGCTCACCTGCTATTGGCATCACCCAAGCATTACTGCCAGTAGTGTCCTGATGCAACACAGGTCCAGAAGGGGCTGAACATGCAGAGGCCAAGGTCAGGGCCTTTACGACCAGGTTGCTCATGTTGCTGAGCTGTTGGTGGATCTCCCTTGCATCTACTGATAATGAGCACAAGGTTTCCTTCACTTCCTTCATGGTCGTGTGTAGCACTGCCATGTCAGATGTTATCAATGCATGCACCATGTTGAGTGCCTTGGTGGACACTGGCTGGACAAGTGCAGCTTTGCCTGTGAGTGAATGATCACCTTCATGTGGGACCAGTTGCAGTGCATCACTGTGGTTGTTTTTGTAGCAATTCAACTCATCGAGGAGGTAGTGCATCAGTGTGTCATGCTGCATAGTCATGTGGAGCAAAAGGCAAGGAGTTGGTTGACTTTTACTACACACTCAGATAGGAAGGAGGATGAAGTATCACATGCTCACCTTCAGCCCATCCCCCCCACCACTGGACCCATGCAAGGGTCCATCACTGCCCCACTGGTGCAAACATGAAGTGATACTGTGCTCCACCATGACAATAGCAATGGGTCATAAACATCCCAGGAGTTCCAGACCCCACTACTGCCTCATCAATCCATTTCTGGATTGTGTCATGGGAAAGTGGCTCACCTGGCTGTAGCATGCCATTTGTGCTGATTGCAGGGAAAAGGAAGTCTTCGTTGGTCATTGGTCACCCGAGATGGACAAGCTCAACCCACTTCATCCACAACACAAGGCACAGGAAGGTATCACACACTTTGCCCATATCTGGGTGTGGATAAATCTTGTAATGATTGCCTTGTATATAGCAATAAAAGGAGATCAGATGGATAAGATATGCAAAGATGGATATAAGGATGGACTTCATAAGTTGGCCTCCCTCATCCCCTTATCCAACTTTCATTGCCATCCCTTACAATTCTTCAGGTGGATCTTGAAGTAAGCATTGCACTCGTTTATGGTGAGGGAGACTTCTTTGCCTTGAAGATATTTCATGAACATGCCATCTATGACAGTCCAGTCAAGTTTGACATCCCCATGCTTCAATTTCAGCAGCTCATAGTTCCTGTTGGATTCCACTGTCAAAACATTGTTGGCAATGCTGCCTACTGGTACCTACCTTGTCCAGAGCATGAACACAACAGCACCAAAGGCAAGGTGTTTGAGGTGCCATGTGACTGCTAGCCTCACCTTCCTGCTCAGGGACTCGCCTGATGGCAGCATTTTGCAGCCTACCATCACAAGATGGATGTACTGGAGTGGGGCATTGAGTGGACATAGTGATCCTGACCAGGCAAGTATTTTATCCATGTACTCCTTCTTCATGGCTCCTGAATGCTTCTGTTCAGCTCCTTCAGAATTTACCTTGTGTCTGATAGATGCAATGATATCATCAACTTCTGCCAACAAGACTGGGTTGCCTTCCCATTGGTGACACACATCATTGTGATGCCAGTTCCCATGGAATGTTGCACCATCACTGTTGGGAAGAAATGCATGCCAAAGGTATTTCTCTATGAGCATCAAGGGTAACTGAGCAGTCATGACACATATGCTTCATCCCACAACATCTTAAATCCCACTTGAACTCCATCAATAGTGCTCTGGCTGCAATTCTCCTGGAACCCTCTCCATGAAAGGTAAAGTGCTAATGCCTTATCCAAGCACCTCTTTGGCATGCACTCAAATGCATTCCTGAATTCTGGATCGCTGTAGATCTCAGAATCCTCTCTAGTGTGATTTGGAGTTGGTGGCATTCCTTCTGCTGGAAAATGGCTCTGCAGCCACAAGTGCACTTGTTGGACATGCCCCACATATGCTGCCCTTGTCTTTGCTGCCCAAAGGTGAGTTTCTTTGCCAGCTCCTTTGATTTGGTGGGTGGTTCATAAGCTGGGTAGTTCCTTTGCAGTGGATACCCTTGTCCCCCCTTTTGGCCTGTCTGGGGATGATGTGATGTGCTTGGTACTGGCTCCCTTCTGTCTGACCATCATGGCAACTAATGTTGCATTAGCAGTCCTTGATCTGGCAATGTGGGAGTTGTGATGTCACAAGTGCTAGCTACAATGTCACCTACTAGTCATTTGCAATACATATCTAGATCTCTCCTGGTCTGTGAAATTGATCATACTACCTCACAAGCTGCTGATAATTCTTGCTAAAATGGCACAGTGAAGCAAAGTCAGTTTGAAGTACATGTAGTAATGGATTGAGGATTCCTTATACTAGTATCAATACATGCAATTGTAATTAGATCTCACCCTTGAAGTTGACCATGGCACCTCATCCATCAGTAGCACTAATGGCTCACTCCCCAGGGCCAACATTTATTCACCAAATGGCAGGTGACACAAACCACAAACATCTTTGTCTTTGATGACAGGGTCCCACAATTATCACTTGTTGTACCAAATGGCAAGTGACATGAGCGTGAACATCTTCTGACAGAGATGTATCATACAAGTGCTGTGGCGAGTTGTACCATTTTAAGCAGGGCTAGAAGGTGACCACTGTGGAGATGTTGGGCTGTATGCAGGAGGAACAGGAGCTGCTAGACACGAACGATCAATAGTCAACAACATAGGTAGAACCAATGCTGATGTTATCAGTAACTTACAAGCTGGAGGATATGTTGGAGAAGTTGGAGCAATAGAAGATAAAAGTCACTTACACCTGGGAGATGTGAGATCAAGTGCAGGTGACATGGAGGAGGAGTATGTCAATGATGTATCCCCTCTGCTTCTCTTGTACAATGGGGATGTCCTACATCATGACCTGCTGAATGGTGAGATGTGAGATTGAGTGCAGGTGATGTGGAGGAGTATGCCAGTGACATAGCCTCTCTGCTTCTGTTGTACAATGGAGATGTCCTGTATTGCAACCTACCACATGGTGAGATGTGAGATTGAGTGCAGTGATGTTGGGGAGTATGTTGATGATGTAGCCCTCCTACTTCTGTGCCAAATGGTGAGACATGAGATTGAGTGTGAATGATGTGGAGGAGTACACCAGATGATGTAGCCCTCCTGCTTCTGTTGTAGAATGGGGATATCCTATATCATGACATACCAAATGGTGAGATGTAAGATTGAGTGTGGGTGATGTCAGGGAGTATGTTGATGATGCAGCCCCCCTGCTTCTGTCATAGAATGGGGATATCCTGTATTGTGACATGCTGAATGGTGAGATGTGAGATTGAGTGTGGGTGATGTCAGGGAGTACATCAATGATGCAGCCCCCCTTGCTTCTGTCATAGAATGGGGATATCCTGTATCATGACATGCTGAATGGTGAGATGTGAGATTGAGTGTGGGTGATGTCAGGGAGTATGTCAATGATGCAGCTCCCCTGCTTCTGTCATAGAATGGGGATGTCACATAGAGCTACATGCCAAAGAGTGAGGTCGCTCTACCATAGGATGTATGACGATGTGAGCAGTATGCATTGGAAAAGTGACCCTGCCCATACCTGGGGAACAAAAAGTTGTCTGCCATTGACAGTAAGCAGTGAGAACATTGCTGATTCACCCTTGAAGTTATGCTCTGACCATGCAGGTGAGTTTGTGTCATACAGTGTCATTGCTACTTGGCCTGGTGTCATGCTGCTGACTGTGTGGGCAGCAAGTGAGTCTTGTACTGGGAAATGGTAGTCAGTGATGGTATCATTCAGCATGTCAATGTCCAGAGCGACATAGAATGCACCTGTACCCATAGGCACAAGCTGGCTGAATATAACATTTTCTGCAATGCTGTGACAATCATCCTTTCCACCAATGGCAGCAGCTTCCATCAAAATCTCCACTGTTTCCTCAAATGGGCAACACATCAGGGTGCCAGTGTCAGCATGGTTAATGCCATGATGAGTGATTGCCATAAGTGCTCTACAATGGGTCATGAGGTTGCAGAGCAATGTCAGGTAGTGGTAGTTCAGGTATGAACTGTTGAATTTGATGACTCCTCACTTGCTGTGTGAGCAGCTTCAATCCCGAGCATGTTGAAGATCTCAATGCAGCTGTTGGAGTACACATGAGTGAAGTTGACACCTGGAATGCACATCACCACCTCCAAGTTGACACTGTCAGTCTCCAAAACCTGCTCCTTCATCTTGATGGATCCCTTATCATGTTCTCGAGTTGGCAGAAACTGACATATTTTTCAACTGTGCCCCACCATCATCATCCTTGTCCCCACCAGAGGGAGCCTGGGAGATAGATATGACATCCTCCAGTGCCTTGACAAGATGTCATTAGAAAAAATCTGTTTGCACAGACCTAGAAATCTGTTGAGAGGTCAGGCTGTCGAAAGCAAGTGAGGCAAGGAAAATTTCCTAGAATGAGATCACAGTGAGTGTGGCTGAGTTCATAACAATCTGGGTGACAACATGAGCTGAGGCAGTAGGAGCAATGAAGAGGAGGCAGTCATCAGGGTGCTAAATAGACAAGGAAAATTACCTAGAATGAGATCACAGTGAGCATGACTGAGTTCATAACAATCCAGGTGACAACATGAGCTGAGGCAGTAGGAGCAAAGAAAAGGAGGCAGTCATCAGGGTGCTAAATATACAGTGCAGGAACAAGAGCAGGCAGGGAAGTGGATGACGCAGACTCATGTGGACCTGGCCATTCATTAGAAGGTGGGGAGCAAGGCAGTCTGCACAAGGGGAAAATAAAATAAAAAGAAGAAAGAAAGAAAAAACTCATACCTTGTGACGGTCTGGTATGAGGTGAGTATATTCTTTGTCAGGCTTCACTTGCAACTCCAGGGAGCTGTTGGGCAGCTGTCATCAATACCAATCCTTCTACATTCTGCTACCTGATGCAAGTACTCACCTGCAAGTTAGTGTTGTCCTCCAAGTGCTCTTGCACACATTTGCCCAGACTGATTGCAAGTGAGGTTGGAGGTGACAACATCACATGACAATAGTCATGGTGCATGGCGAACAGCTTTGGATTGTGTAAGGGATGGGATGAACAGTGTACACAATGTGCAACTCATGAACTGATACAATGTTACAAAAAGTGCTAGGCATGAACTACTCCTCACTCATGAGATCAACAATGCCAGTTTGTGTCTCCTTGCCATCTGTCAGGTCAATCACTCCAGTGTCAGGAAACAACACAACCAGGTTAACTATGGACTTGAACAGCTGACAACCAGCATCCTCATCCACCAACTGCACACAGGACAACTGAGAGGATGCATGGACAAGGTCATGTACTAAGTCAGGCCTTGAGTACTCCAACATGACTGCTGAGACCTCTATTTCATAGAATGCATCACTGTTAGCATCCTCACTCAGTGGTGACATATGCATGACAGGTGACCGATCCATGTCCACTGGCATTGCTAGGGGCCAACTCAGCACAGAGAGCCTATAGGTGGGCAGTGGCTTGTTGAAGTGGCTTATGACCTGAAGGCCACATTGCAGCCCCTCACCATCAACATTACCTGGGCACTGTATATGACAGATGATGAGGTTGGACAGGCATATTTAGTATGGCTGCGAGACTCACCTGTAGAAGTGCATGCATAGCTGCACCAACAGAAGTGTCAATCAATCTTGACTGGATGGTATCCAGTGACCAGCCGAGATGCCGTGAGCAGAACATTGCAAGGGAGGTGAGATTAGGCTGATGAGATATCACGAAGGCAATGGGGGAATGTCCACCATCCAACCACAATGTGAGAGGTAATAGGTACATTGCCAGTATGGCAGGGTCGGGGAATTCAACGTGTTCCTCCTTGATGATGTGGGTGAGTTCATGGTACCTACATCCAAGGAGGCACTGAGGATCTGTCCTCAGTATCTCACAGACATCATTATGCCACTTGGTGACAAACTCCATAAACTTGACAAATTGGAGCATGATAGTGGCTTGGAAGAGGGTCCTTCCAAAGCCATAGTGTACTAACTGACAGGCAACATCCCCACTGCACCACTGGCAGCCCATCTATGAACTGAGTGAGATTTGGTGGCACCTTCGGCATGCTGAATATGGCATGCACATCATCATCTACACTACCCATCAGTGTGATCAAAAGGAGGTCCCCCCATTTGAGACCAGTGCAATCTTCTATGGCTTCCAAGGAGTAAACTTGCATGTCTTCGAACCTGCCAGAATGCAAGTCACTACCATCAGTCACACCAGCTACCATTTGCATATTTAAGTCAACTTACCTGTGGACAACACAGGTTGTGCCAAACAATAGTGCATCATTGTATGGCATTATGACAGCATCAATGAGTTTGCACAATTGAAGACAAGCAAGTTCTGCCTCTGCCTCTCCTGGAGCCTGATGTCACATTAGTACCCATTGAAATACATACAGCAAGTGACTCACCATGTGCCAGTTGAAACCAAACATTAGCAGCAGCTCTTGAAAGTGCTGCACAAGGAGACATGGGGAGGTCGAACCTACGATGTCTTCTCCCCTCTTGAGTTGTGGGCAGTCTGGCCCATCGAAGACAAAGTAAGGGTGAAGTAGCATGCAAGAGAGAGTGGAAAGACAGCAGAAGATAATATCCATTTCATGTGATTGTCCTGTACTGGCTTGATGCCATGAAAACATGTTGACTAGCAAATGCATCCATGCACTGGTGATATGTCATCTGTGAGGCACAAAGCAGACCATAGACAGCAGGCTACTAACCTGGCATTGAATCCCACTGTGAGCAATCAAATGCCTTCTTCATTGCCAGACAGGTCGAACATTTCAGTGGCCAGCTGGCCAAGTGTGTAAGGCCTTGCTGCAGGTGCAAGAAGCTTTGTATGGTCAGTATAACCACACCAATGAAATGGCAGAAAAAAATGATCACTGACAGGCCATAGTTTGCAGACTCTCATGCATGGCAGACTTGGATGTTGCAAAAAAGTTAAGCGCCATAACAATCCCAGCAGCTTGTCATGTGACTGAGATGCCTAATTCAATGGTATACCAATGGCAACATAATGATGTCTTAGACTGACTTATTATGTTAATGCCAAAACAATACTCCATTAGGTATTAGAATGTGCACCTTAAGCCCAATGAATCATTGCAAGTGCATATCATGTGATTGCTATTGATTAGATTCAACCATCAATTACATAATATTACTGGTTGTGACACTGAGACCTCATTCTCTTCACCTGTGTCCTCTCCACCATGCCGCCCCATCGAAACTACCAGCAATTAAAAGAATCTTCTACTAAGCAACCTTGCAGGTACTGTGGGAACCTCTACCTGCTGCAAGGGATCAAAAGGCATGAAGGAAGCTGTGTGAAGGAGCTCCAGAACCATGAAGAATGGGTCAAACACAATAAGGCATACATATGGGATGTTCGTTGGGGTGAGGTGATCATTTTTATGAAATCCTCTCAACTGCCCATTAGCTTACAATGGTTGCCTACTAGCCAATATTGCTAAGGAAGCAGCTGCTGTGACATCCTCATCATCAGTGCACCCTTGCATTGCTGGGTCTTCAGGTCCTGACTCCGCCATAGCTACGATACCAGTGCCACTTGGACAGCTGTCAGTAACAGTAGGCCCTTCACAATTTATTCCTGGTATGTAAACCACTAGTATGGCTCTCGCCGACACTTACATGTTACTGGACAGGATCACCAACTAGTTTTGTTCCCAATGAAGATGATGTGTTGATGGGCATGGCAGACCCTTGTGGTAGAGGTATGTCAGACTCAGGTAGGTTCAGAGTGTATGTGTCATCAGCTGGTATTTGAGCTAATCTTTTGTTGCCTATATGATTATAGACTCTGACGTGTCAATAACAGCCCATGTGATGGGTCACTCGGTGAACTCCGCTGCACCAGATGCCACAAATGACCATCCTCCTGACTTCAAGACTGAATTTCATCCCCATAGTAAGCACCCGACCCTTTTCCAATTTGCTGAAGAGTTTGGCCAGCAAAACCTTGAATGCATGCCCCCAGACCGTGAGCCCTGGCACCCTTTTGCCTCAGAGGGTGATTACATCTTTGCCTCGATTGCTGTGGAAGCTGGGCTCAGCTCAAATCAAGTTGACTCCCTTCTCAAGTTGGTTCACTGTATAAGTCAAGGAACCGCAAGTGTCATGCTACACAATGATGCTGGGCTACATACTGCTTTGGATAGAGCAGCAGTGCAGTTAACACCGGTAAACTCTTTGTTACTGGCATGCTTTTGATGTTTGGCTCACTTCCCAGTCATTTGTTAGTTCTCCAAGTTCGAAATTACCATGCCCTATAAGGGCAATGACGTGACATTCCCTGTCCATATCTGCCCTCTGTGGGACTGGGCCCTCGACCTCTTGCAAAATTCCTCCCTTGCACCACACTTCATCTGGGATGCCCAACAGCTCTTCAAACATGATGGTGAGAGATATGAGCGCTTCTACACGGAACCTTGGACAGGCGATCATTGGTGGGATATTCAAGTATGTTGTAATTAATGTTATCTCATACCACCATGCTTTGTAAATTTACTATCCGCTTTTTTGTGTTGTGCCAATAAAGTCACGGTTACCCAGTCATGTGGATAATGCAGTCCCATTTGCATTTATAATTTACGCTGACAAGACATGGCTATCGTCCCATGGTACTGTCAAGGGCTACCCTGTCATAGTGTGTTGTGCGAACCTGCCAGTTCATGTTCACAATGGTGAGCAATATGGCAGTGGCTGCGTCATTGGCTGGCTTCCAATTGTGAGTACCATGCCTTCGTTTTTGAGCAATAGCGAATAGATCTCACAGGTTTTACAGGTTCCTGAGCTTGCAAAAGAAGAGGGAAAGACTGGCTACACAAACTTCAAACGTGTCATCTGGCATACAGCATTTTTTCAGCTCCTCAAGAAGGTTGTGGAGCTCTCAAAGGTCGGTTATCTTCATGAATGCTACAACAAGGTTCTCCACTGGCTCTTCCCACTTGTCCTTATCCTGTCTGCTGACTATGAAGAACTGTAGGTACTAACTTCTCTGTGACCCAATCGTACTTACCAGGCCTCCCTAGCTGTGTGATGACCCTTATACGAGGCACGAAGTCCAAGTGCCCTTGCCCGTTTTGTCTGGTCCCCTTGGAGCAACTTTGGGATCTGAAGAAGACATATGAAATGCATACTACTGAGCAACACAAAAGAGTGCTGGCATTATTCGAGGAGAAGAAGACAGTTGGTGAGAAGAAACTGAAGTCCCTTGGGTTACGTCCTGTCAAGGTAGGTCTTTGACACATGTACTATGTTTACGACTGATGGAATGTACAATAGAACACTTTTTGGTCAGTAGAACATTCAGAGCCTGAACAGGCTGCCAGTTTTGAGCCGCTTCACTCCCTGCATGGTGGCATGGGAGGCAAGCACATCCATGGGGAACTCAGGATTGTCGTCAGTGAGCTTGGCCGTGATTCTGAGACACGTTTAGAAGCACAGTAAGAATCTACTTAGTCTGTGGAATGGGCTAACTGTCACACAGAGTTTCTGCCTTTCCCCATTGGCAAGGCCTCACACATTTCGATACAGTGATTCACATCACATTTTCTGATGGAAATAAAATGCAAGATCTCACCAGGGTAAGTCAATTAGGACATGTTTAAATGTAGTTCGATGGCTAACAATCTCTCTGGTATAGCAATGTTTCTACGCCTCCCTCAACATTTTGACACCGATGATGTCTCAAGTTGGGTATCAGTTACTTCATATGATCAGTAGCTACCTGTGACTCGATACCCTCATTGGACTTGATGTGCACACTGAGAAGACTCTTGGTATGATCAAAGATGAACTTCTCATCTTCAGGGATGAACTAAAGGTATTCTGTTCATCCAACTGTCTATTATCATGTAATGATTTTCTATAACAGTTGTACCGATCCTTCGTTCGTCATTTGGATGATACAGATCTGAAGGATAATTGGAACTTTCTGAAGGTGCATCTCTGGAAGCACGTTACCTGTGACATTCGAAGCAAAGGTGTTGTTCGTAACTACAGTGCCCAGCCCAATGAGAAAATGCATGGCCCGCTCAAAGATGCATACCAGGATCGCTCAAATGGAAAGGATACTGTGGGGCAGGTATGATTTAAGTTCCTCTCACTTAGGCATTGTCTCATGATTTGTCACTCAGATTCTCCGTGTTGACCACCACCGACTTGCAACCAAACTCATTCAGGCATGCATTGATGCAGAAAACGAGTGTGTTAACAATGCTACTGACGACAACGAGGACCACAACACAGTACTCGAAGGGAATGCCAAGCTCGGCGCACCCCAGCAGACTCACTCACTCTCTGATGTTGAGAACACTAACCAAAATGACTGGGCATTTGATGGATTCCATCGGAAGCTAGAAACTTTCCTCAACACTTGCCTCCCGACTTATGGGTTCCCCCTCGAAAAGTGGATACAATTACAAGGAACACATACAGTACGTCCTCTTCCCTTTATATACAGACTTATCCACATTCCTCCAAAGATCCAGGAGTATCGATATTTGAAGGTCCAGTATGCTTCAATGGTGGACTGGGAGGTCGCTGTGAACTACCTCCAATGTAATCCAAGTTTCCATGGTTGGCCATGATACGATGGCGCCCTCATTCAGCTTTCGGAGACCAAGACTACTTTCATTCGACTCATATTCATGTTCACTTGTAAGGTTGCAGTGTTCGAAGACACTTTTCAGTTTGCCCTTGTTCAGCCGCTCACTGCCAGGACTGGAGTGTGCAGGTTGGACCAAGATCTTCGACTTGTTTGAGTCAAAGCTGTATCTTGTGCAGCATCAATATTCATTCCCGTGAAGTCGATCATTTGAGGCACATTGCTTTACCTGGATCCAAGCCACCATGGTGAGTTTTTGGTTGTTGAACACACTGATGGAGACATGTTCCTTCACATGAGGGAATGGATTCAGACCCAGCCCCAAGCACAGTTGCCAACCGAACAGCCTTCAAGTTCTGACTCTGATCAAATGCCAGCTGAAATACAAAGCAATACTTCAGGTAAGTGATCCTCATTGTCATGCATTACTTCATCGAAACTGATGTAATTCTATACTATCATAGGGTCAGAGCAATTAGATGATCTTGGAGGGTTAGTGTCAGAATGAACATGGTCGGTTTGCACTATACATTTCCGTGTTCACTGTGCTATTACCTCTTATCACATCATTGTATTTCTATTACTGCTGATAAGGTTGCCAGGGAGTGACCACATGGCATTGCGGCAATGGAAGAGTCAATGAAATGATGTCAAGTCATGCCACATGTTAGTGTCCTGAGTAAACACAATTCGACATCGTCTCGCTGATATGCTTTTTTACATCACCAAGCAGCTGTCTTCTCGGACTTGAGGTGGGCTCGCAAGCTTTTAAGAAGGTCTGTGAGTGTAAAACAGACCCAGGCTAAGTAGTGACACTCTTGTCCCCGTTACCTTCCACTTGAACCATCTTCTGTTTTGCAGACATGCCTGAGGACTTCACACATGCACTTCATAGTGTCGATTTGGAATTTTCTGGATCTGACTCATGTTCAGACTGCTCCGACTCCGAGGATGACACTTCTGATCTCGAGGAGCTTCAAGAATGGCATCAAATCATGCACAAACCACCTCCAGATGCTAGCACTCCCCAGCTACGCATTGCACGTCACTTTCTTTTCATGTTCATTTAGTATTCTTACACTATGGCGACAGGCACTTGGCGCTACTCAGTTGGCATACTCAAAACTTCACATTGAGATGAAGAAGCTACGAACTGACTACAACAGTCTACTCTCCACTCTCCCACAGAACCACAAGAGAGCTGTGGAGAATAACCCAAACACAATGTTGGACAATAACATCACTGCCCAAGCAAAAAAGTATTGTTTCTTCTACCATTTCTGGGTCCCAAAGGATGTTTTCCCGCTCATGATTCCACTGCCCAGATATGATCTGAATGACCCTGCTTGTTGGAGTATGCCTGAATCAAGAACTATTGGCCTTAAGGTGGAACTCTATTCCATGCTACCTAGTGACCTCAAGGCCCACGCAACAACTTATAGCAACTTTGGCCGTGTGGTAAGTGAACATTTACATCCCACAATTTGAATGCTAATGTTTATTGTTTCTAGTTTTCAAATGCGGTTGGGGCTGAAAGACCCAATGTCCTCAAGCCCGTCAAGGATAACATGCAGCAACTCTTCACGCACTTGGGCCTTAGTGCCGATTTATTTGCAGCTGAGAATTCAAGGATTCTACGAGGGTCAAATGAGGATGTGAAAGCATTGCTGAAGATGCACCCAGGGAGTGTTGGTACTTGCTACACCCCTCTCTCCCCGATCCTCTTCCCCAAACCAGATGCTCCGGTGGCTAGGGAGTTTTTCAAATCCCAACTCCTAGTCAATGTAAGTTTTCTTCACTACTCACAATTATACCTACATTAATTACTTCTGCAAGATCATCCATGTCATGGTGTTTGGCAAGGGCGTCCTCACGGGCAAGTGAAGAGGTGGTCCACAGGGATGAGGTCAGAAACTGGGGATATCTGGCACTTTGGCTGGTCTGATTGCCATCACTGCAACCTTTGTAAGTCTCGTGTCCCTACGTTCTTCTGGCCCAAATATTCTAACAGCCTTGGTATAACAGGCGTGGTACTTACTATTGAGTGACTGTGAGCTTACTACCATTGGGGAAGAAAGCAGACTCAAGTATCAGGACAACTTCGAGTATTTCATCAAACTATTAAGTGACCCATCAAAACAAGAGTGGTCATTGGAAGTGATGGAATTCATCAATCAAGGTGTGTGGAACACTTCTAGTTGTGCCTCTACTAATACTGCACTGGATTCATCCAACATCAATGCCTCTGTAGCTCCTACATGGGAGTCTGACATCTTAGCACAATTGAATGGCCCCCAGCAGCCAACACCCCCTTCCCACATGCCCACTCCTGACTCGAGCTTCGACCCCAACCCTGCCTCCACTTCACATCACATGTCAGAAGCAACCCAGGATTCTTCGGTTGTCATCTCTCAGACAAACTCCATCTCCTCGGCACTTTCAGTTGATGTCGCGAATCTTTCACTTGGAGGTAGTCAAACATCTGTTCTACCATCCATGTCTGCTCATGGAAGGGAGTTTTCTGTCTGGGGACGACAACCTAGGATGGTTGAGGTCCCAGGGGCTGTGGTTGGAGCTATGCAGAACCTGCCAGCAGTGATCGCCCAGGAGCCGCCTACTAAGGAACGTCATATCACCCAACGTAAGGTAAAGGGTAAGTAGTTGTATTGCCATAGTCAGCCATGTGAGCATGCAAATTTCGAGCTTTCTGGCTATGAACCCCTACTTTATGTGCTGTATGCACTACCACGCCTTTGCAAATACAGTTGTCCTTTTCCTTGATTCCTTTGAATTGATGTGATGACTTTCAACCAACATATATCAGGTTTTGGAACATCAAGTTCAAATGGCCCTGTCTCCCTCTCATTGCAACTGCCCTCACCAAAGAAATACCGCCCCATGTTGTGGGTGTTCATACCATTGTCTGCGTCTTTATCAAATCCCAGTCATGCTGGTGACATCTCTGGCAAAGAAGTGGCCATTAAGCTCAAGTCCATCAAAGCAAAGCACCCATAGTTGGTTCATAAATATGTGTTTCATTTTTCTCTCATCTAATTCTCATCTCCAGATTTCTCATTCTCTCTCTCAATTTCATCCATCGCGACACAAAGCTGCACAATCCCCTGATGGGGATCAGGAAATGAGCAACCAAGTCAGCACCACCGACCTCAGTTTTGCAAAGGAGTACCATGACCCCAAGACTCATCTGCATATCCGGTGTATGGGGAACAAGAACCTCACAGGAACCGCCTATTGTACCTCAATAATAACACTCACTTTATGGTTGAACAGGCCCACCATGATGACTTGGGGTCCCTTGCTTACATCCTCATGTATTTCCTCTGTGCACACTTCCCCAATGAGGCATTAAGCCTGCCATGAGGAAGCAGGAGTATGAGAATTGTATGGTGGAGGAAAAGGTGACTACTTCCACAGACTTGCTGTGCTGCAGCTTCTCAAATGATTTTGACGTATTCTTAGATTACACTCAAGCACTTCAGTTCGACAACAAACCTGACTACTCCTACCTCTGCAAGCTCTTCTGTGACTTCTTCGTTCACAAGGGTTTCCAGTACGACTTCGTCTTCAGCTGGAGCATTCAGCATGGTGTTCCAAAGGACAGTAGTGCCGGAACGAGTCAGAAGGTGAGCGCTGGCAGAAGATAGGTGGTCCAAGAGGAAGAAGACCACCATGCCAGTGACAGGATGTAGGTGCCACACCCATTCCCACTCCTTTATCATCTGACTCTCTATATCATTGTTGGGCTTCATTCGCAGACCTGTTAGCTGCAAGCCAATGCTACTTGCACTGTACACCAACAACATGGTGCAACTCATGGAAGGGAAGGTGATATTTGGTAAAGGACATGTTCATGCTTTTCTGATTTGCACTGGGTGCGACTGGGATTGGGGGTGGAGGGAAGTGGTAAGGTTACTCAGTCATGATTGGTCAAAGTTTGCAGTTGGGATGGCGCACCCGGTGGGTCATTCTGCAGTGGAATTGGGGTCATTTAGGGCACTTCCCAGCCTTGTGATTGGCCCGAGGCAAGCCTTGTCGAACCTAACATTCTGTTCAATGTCTGCTCTCGATTCGTCTGTTCCATGGTACAACAGGATCACCATCGTATCCAGATCGATCATTTCATATAGCACAGACACTCTTTTCTTCCAAGCTATCCCGATCTCCCTCTGGGGAGTGAAAAGGGTGGGTGCCTATTCCATTCTCACTTTTCCAGACTCTCCCCCTTCAGTGCCATCCTCATACAACATATACTACTACATTTGCTTCTTCATGTCCCTTCCATGATCGTATATGCTCTTTTTTTCCCACTCCTGTTTTCCTTTGTGTGGTTGATCAACATAGTACTTGCACAGACACGCTGTGTCATGGCTTCCCGAACGAATCCGGCATATTCCTCCATTACATTCAGGCACTCCACTGGTTTGATGACAACCCTGACTACTCCCACCCCCGCAGGTTCCAATTCTACAACCCTTCATTCATGGGGGTTTCCAGTACAACTATACCTTCGACTGGAATATGCTCGAGCACTTCGGTTCAATGATAAACCCAACTACTCCTACCTATGCAGGCTCTTTCGAGACCTCTTCCTTCATGAGGGTTTTCAGTGCGACCATGTCTTCAACTAGGGCATTTAGCACGGTACTTCCACAGGCTTGCTGTACCACAGCTCCCCGAGTGAATTCGGCATTCTCCTCAACTATGCTCAAGCACTTCGATTTGATGACAAGCCCGACTACTCCTACCTTCGCAAGCTCTTCTGCAAGGGTTTCCAGTATGACTACATCTTCGACCAGAGCATTCAGCATGGTGGTCCTGAGGATGGTAGTGCCAGAGCAATTCAGAAGGCAAGTGCTAGCAAAAGAAAGGTAGTTTGAACAGCACCTATTGGCATCCAAAGACTTGCCTGCAAAAATCTTCCTCGTATTATGTTTTTTTGCCAGGTTATTCTTGGATGGCGCATGTACCCACCCGGCCTTCGAATACGGAGGTGTTCACTTTTGCCCCACCAGCTCTTCGGTGAAGGATTTCCTGCTCCCCATATTTGTTTTGTTCATAGAGCCCAGTTTCCATTATGGTCTGTTTCAATTCTGGTGGTACAAACGCATTGTATACAACGTTGTTGATATTTTTCCCTCCCCAGTTGTGCAGGGTACAAATTCATATCTACATTACTCCCTTCTACATTTCCAAGATGGCAATTGCAAACAGTATTCCAATTAATACCTGTGGCATTAAATTAAAACAGTAATACGGTTGTCATTATCTCTACATACTTCATGTAATGCTCTCTTGTTTGGCACATGTACAATATGAAGAAACAGTCGCTGAATAAATTTTGTGATGGACTCGAGCAATTCAATATCTCGAATCTCAATGTCCAGAGAGGGATTACCATTTTGGGGCAATTATATAAGCTTCCAGCTATAATACGTGTGAGGTTGGAACTTGAAACATGTTTTTTCGTTCAACTACCACTGTCGTTACATGTCAATGGCCAGCCACACACCCCAGTCCGCCGCCACCCCCGACAGCAAAGATACAGGCAACCCGAACCAACCAACGGATGCGCCCACCCAGCACTGCAACTAATTTTACCACTTGATTTCAGGACAAGCATTTACTGTCTCGTCACTTTACATCGTGTTGCCTGCTCCTTAGGTCAGTTGTTCCTAGCTTCCCATCCCAATTTAATACCATCTCACCGCCAGTCATGCAGCAACACCCTGGACTAGACACCATCCCCGGTTGCCAACCTAGTCCGAGTTACAGAGTCTTCAATGTTACTCCCTCCGATTCCCAACTATGTTGTATGTCCCCCTGCTCTCTGACCATTGACCATGCTGGGTACCTGGGGAGTCGCTATCCCATCCCTGCCACTACTGTTTTCGTTACCCCATAACCCTCTGTCCAATGGCATCAGTACATGGGCCTATCCAAGCAGCACACACATCGTCATTCTGCCTGTACACAGCCTCTCAGATCTGTGCTATGAATCCCCTTCTCCCCAGTTGCCAATCTAGGCCGAGTTATGCAGTCTAGTGTCACTCCCTCCAATTCCCAAGTATGTTGTATGCCCCCCTGCACTTGTTATCACTGCTCTCTGACCATTGACCGTGCAGGGTACCTGTGGAGTCGCTATCCCCATTCCCTCCCACTGTCGCTTTCCGTTACCCCATTTCCCTCTGTCCACTGGCATTGGTACATGGGCCTATCCAAGCAGTACACTCATCGTCATTCCGCCCTGTACACAGCCCTTCGGACCTGTGCTATGAATCCCCTTCTCCGGTTGCCAACTTAGCCCGAGTTATGCAGTCTGGTGTCACTTCCTCCGATCCCCAAGTATGTCGTATGTCCCCATACACTTGTTGTTATCCCTGCTTTCTGACTGTTGACCATGCAGACTACCTGTGGAGTCAAGACAATCCCCATCCTCCCACTACCGCTTTCTGCTACCCCATTTACCCTCCGTCCAATGGCATCGGTACATAGGCCTGTCTGACCGGCACAGCCATCATTCTGCGCTGTATGCAACTGACCTACTCTGCATAATACTAACCTCGATATTCTATGAGTGGGCTGGTAAAGATTAGCAGTACAGACAAGACCTCGGTGATGGATTACAGTAATATTAGCAATATTGCAATAGGGATTAGGGTTACAATGAAAATAATAGTACTGCAATGCAGATTATGTCGTCTTACAATGAAAATGACGGTATTGCAATACAGCCTTACACATTACAATGGTGAAAATAGTTCGCAATGGTAGTACAATAACATTGCAACTATGGCTGCCTAGCAAGTCATTGTTAGGCACTTCAGTCAGCAGGCAATGGCTAACAATAGCATTGCAATCACGTGTTCCTGGCGCAGAGCGGCCGGCCATTGTCAGGCATTCCAATCGGCAACCCCTGGATTACACTGCCATGCCAATGAAAACTTTACCTATTGGCGGGGCACTAACATATGTCATCCATTGTAATTACATACAGTCATGTGTAATGGCTGTGATTTTTTTCCGACAGAGGACTTGTTAGGAGGATGTCAACAGGGGGAGAATGAGAGAGCTGGCTGACATTGGCAAAGGCCAATGCCCAGCTGACAAATATGAGTACAGCCACTGGCCAGTTGAATGCCTGGGCCATGGTGTGAGGATGGATATACTCAATATGAGCAATCTATGTTTCAAAGCTGTCAGTGGAGGCACTAGTACTGGTGGCAGATGAAAGGGACTCACCAAGAGATGAATCAGGTTGAATCTCAAGGGCACATTCCAACGAGTGAGCTCGCTTGGCCAAGGAATTGTGCTCAATAGTGCTATGAACTGTCAGATGTAGCATGCTGAAATACTTGTCAGAGGTACTCACCATGCATGACCATCAATGGCAACAAAGGCCAGGGGATGTTGGAGGATGTCAAATGGAAATTTGGGGAGGGAAGAGGATGGCTCCTGCCAATGTACACATGATTAGGAGTTGTGGTAGCCCAAACCTGCCCTAATGGCTTATGTTAGTGTGTTGATGCCTTGAGGCTACAAGCCGGTTCGAGCTGTAAAGTACTGTAAGTAATTATAAAGTGGTGTGAAGTCACTTTACAACAGGAAATTGGCATGCAGACTTACAATTGGGCTGGCCAGATTGGCAAGTGAGTCAGTAAAATATGCAAACACACTGAATGGGACAAGACCCTTGAGGTTGCCATTGAAGTTCCATGTGCCAGGCACAGTGTGATGCATAGCCATTACAGTATTATGGTAGCAGGGCGAGGGGCTTTGTGCACTTGACTAATGCACACTGCCACATGGACACTCAGTCAGTTGTTATGCAGTCCTCAGTGCTTCAATGTTCAACTTCAGCACCTGGTGAAATATATATTGTATGATGAGCACAGAGGCAGCAGATTTTTGGCCTTGATGAACACAAACATACTGTACTATACAATGTATTAGATGGAGCTCAGTAAGTAGTACCAGCCAAGAACAAATTCAGCCAAAAACTATTGAGAGGCACTGCCAAGTCAAAAATGACAAATGTCAACATGGCACAGTAGCATACAAAATTTCCCCCCTACTGAATGAGAATGCCCAAAGGCCAAATACTAGCTGCTGACTGCAAAAGTGATCAACTATTGATGTAAATTTAATGGTGGTGCCCCCACACCTGCATCCCCTCCATCCGAATCACACAGTTGTCAAACATGATGGATGGGAGGTCCTGTCTCTAAGCAATCAGTGTCACATGGGGACGTCCCACTCTCCATGCTCGGACCCTGATCATAACATGCCTGAGACTGTAAGTCCCCCACCACATGTTGCTTCTGTGTCCTGAGCACACCCTAGTGCACCCTAGCACACCTCCCACACCACAATCAACAATGCCAGTGCTGTCACGAGGCATCAGACACTCCAAACAGCCGTCCCCACCACCAAGGGTGAGCCACTGTGGCTGGGAGGCTGGTCCAAAATTTGCAACTCCCATGCACCACCACCTGCCAATTTTCTGGAATAAACTGACTTTTTTTACAAGTTATATTTAGATTTCGCTTTTTTGGTTGCTTAGTCAGCAGTAGTTCTACTTGTGTACAGTTTTTTTTTCTGTAGAAAAAAAAATAGATGAGTTACCACAGATGAGAGATGAAATTGAGCAGGTTGTTTCCCTGCACCCGACAGCCATAGGAGCCGCTGTTCCTGCATGAACACCAGTTGGAGGTTGTGGGGGTTTGCCTGGGCATAGCCCCTATCCCCCTCTTTGGGGTAGATGTCCCATCATCTAGTGAGAGCATTGGGCTTAGCACCAAGCTTACCTGGGTGGAAGTGAATGATGAGGTTGAACTGTGACAGGTACTCAGACCACCAGGCTTGCTGGCATGTGAGTACCTTAGAGGTTGAGAAATATTCTAGGTTTTTGTGGTCAGTGACCATGTCAACAGGTAGAGGGGCACCCTCCAAGTAGTATCTCCAGGCCTGGAAGGCTTCAAAGATAGCAAGTAGCTCCTTATTGTGGGTGTCATAGTTGAGTTCCAGTGCAGACAGTGTCTGGGAGTAAAAGGTGACTGTGCAAAGTTGGTTGTCTTCACCAGTAATGGACAGTATGCTGGCAATGGCATAGTCCAAAGCATCAGTTTCCACTGTGAGTTGAGTGCTGGGAATGAAGTGAGTAAGGATAGGAGTGGTGGTGAAAGCTTCTTTGAGCATATTGAAGGCTGATTGGAACTCCTTGGAGAAGTTCCAGGGTATGTTTTTTCATGTAAGGCAGGTCAAGGGGATGACAATGTCCAAGTAGTTGTAGATGAAACATCAGTGGAAGTTGGCAAAGCCTAGGAAGGACTGGATGTCTTTGACCTTCCAGGGCTCAGGCCAGTCACAGACAGCTTTGATCTTTTTGCTGGACATGGTGCATCAGGAAATTAACACATTACTATTTTTGACCTTTTTGTGACTTTTTTTGACCTTTTTGTGACTTTTTTTGACTTTTTTGTGACTATTGTGACTATTTGTGACTTTTTGGGAAGGAACCGACTATCTGTACTTTTTTTTTGACCATATACAGCATTTTGAAGAATGAAAAGAGAACAGAATCTATTGAGACAACTAAGTGATGATATATCTAAGCCAAGAAGACTAGAAAATGTCCAAAAATTCAGAGATATTGAGCCATTGGTGTGATGCACACTGTCTGAGAGAAAAATCACAATATCTCTTTGGAACCTCCATCAATTTGAATGTATGTGGTATCTACTGAAAGCTATGAACTAGGTGGTTTGAACAAGACAAAAATCAGCAATAAAAGTGCAGCCATGCCTGCAGG